AGAAAAGCGTGAAAGCTTACTATATACAGATTGTGCTAATTATTTTTGATTATTTTACTTAATACCAACAATAATCTTGTAAATTAGGCATTGTTTTCCCCACTTTACATACAACTAAGGGAAATTAATTTGCGTTAAGGTACAGCTGGGATTTGAACACAGGTCTTTCTGTCTCCAAATCTCCTACTTTTCCCCAAAGAACCCACTAGACTGGTATTGTGCCATGGCCAGGTACACAGAATGACCACTGCCAGCCCTTTGCTTGGTGCCCGAGCAGGAGTTGTGGGGTCTCCCTGACTGTGGGGTTAGGTGCATCCCCACGGGGGAGAGCCTGGGGGATGGCTGATAACCCAGGGACTATGTCCTTTTTTCACTGGAGGTGCTCTCTCCCGCAAAACCCTGGCACTGCCGGGCCACGTGCATCACTCTCTCTGAGATCAGTACCTCCTTGTAGCGCTTGCTGTTCATCAGGAAGATGACCACGAGGAGCTGCAGGTAGGCTTCCACTTCAGGCAGGAGGGGCGCCGAGGCAGCTTTTCCTGTCCGGGGACGGAACTGGAAATCCACTTCTGTGTCCATGGGCTAGGAGAGGACAGGCGTTACCGTGGAAAAGCTCAGTCACATCGGTCAACCAAAAATGTATTAAGCGCTCACTATGTATTCAATTGGATGCCTAATATAGGCCAAGATTTTCCTAGGTGCTGGGGATAAAAAATTAAAGATGACAGTGTCTTTCTAAAGGGAGTCAAGGAGGCTGGCAATACAATACATTAGAAAAGAGGGTTACAGGAGTGTAACAATTTTACAGAACGCAATGGGGACAGAAAGGATGATGCAGGACCTCCCAGAGAGCCAACAATCTTGGTGGTGAGAGTAAACCACCACACGTGGAACTACTACAAATTCTATCAGTCAGGGTTTAATAAAGTGACATAACTTTAGAGATGAGATCAATAATAATGAGACAAAAAAATTTTGTGTGTGTGTGTGTAAACAAAAGAAATTTTGGGGAAATGTACTTACACATAGTACTTATTTTCAGATTTAGTCATCAAAACTGGAATAATGTGAACAGATCAAAAAGTGACCATGATGGGTGAATTTAGGGACATATAGGATTTTAGGTGGCTGAAGGTCAATGATGTTTTAGGGCAGCGGTTCTCAACCTGTGGGTCGTGACCCCTTTGGGGGTCGAACGACCCTTTCACAGGGGTTGCCTAAGACCATCGGAAAACACATATATAATTACATACTGTTTTTGTGATTCATCACTATGCTTTAATTATGTTCAATTTGTAACAATGAAATTGGGGGTCACTACAACATGAGGAACTGTATTAAAGGGTCGCGGCATTAAGAAGGTTGAGAACCACTGTTTTAGGGAGATGAAGGTGGCTGAAGGGTCAAGACTTGGACTGTGTGCCATGAATAATAAGGGCGATTTCACAATCAGAAAGGAAAAGGAGAGGCCTCTCCTGCATAGAGACCACTACCGCTATCGAACTACCTTCCTCAGCATTCGCTGTGTGCCAGGCACCACTCTAAGCGCTTACCCATACTCCTCCCCGGCCACTGCCCCCAAAATCTGTCCATCACATTCAACAAATAAAGAAAATGAGACACAAGGAGGTTAGGTTACTTGCTCAAGTCCCACAGGTACCAAATGGTAGAGGTGGGATTCAAATTGAACTCTACCTCCAAACCCTGTGCTCCTGACCCCGCCACACATCCCCCATAGTGAACTCAGAGGCGATGGCACCTTCTCCTAGGACAACGGAGACGCCATCCGATTGGAGGAGAGGTCTGTGTTGGGGGCAGCAGGAAAGGAGTTTGGAGGAAGGTTCCTGATTCCAGCTCCTGTCCCTGACTCGGAAGGATGACACTCCGGGCAGAAGGATGGTGCCCTTGGCCATGGGCAATGGGCACTAAAATGGCTGCTTCAATTCATTTCTCTGCGGCAGCAGGTGACAAGACAGAGCTTTAGGATGCGCCTGACTCACTCACCTCTTCCAGGAAGGGGAGCAGGAAGTCTCGAGTGGCATTGTTTGAGGTGAAGAAGCCATGCACAGCCTTGTATAGAACATAGTGGTTGAGGCGGCGTGACGTGGAAGGCAGCATCCGCAGGGCCCTCAGGACGTAGCGAGGCTCCTTGCCGGACACTGCCTTCTCCAGCTGTCTCACATGCTCCTTGATGTCTGTGAAGGACCAGGGGGAAAATGTTACTTCCAGCTCTTTCTATCCCTCCCTACCCCCTCCCCACTCCAGGTAAGCAGTTCTAGGGAGCCTCTTACAAAAGGGCAGAACGCGGCCAATCACCTCTTTTGCCCTAATAGAGTTCAGCAATACTTATGGATGCCATACGGGGATTTTAAAACATCACCAAGTGCCAAAGAAAAATAAAGCTGGGGTGGGGAAGGGGTAGAGAGAGGAAGAAAAAGCAATGATGAGAAACAAAACCAACCCACGGATATTTATCAGATCTCTAAATAAGAGAAGACTTTCTAAATGTAAACAGTGGGAGAAATCACACACACACAAAACTGATGAATTAGATTTCAACAAAAGAAAAATATCTGCAACAAATATGACCAAAGATGCTCATTCTTATTCTACAAAGACCTTGCATAAATGATTAAGGTAACTATGGGGCGAACAGGACATTTCTGCCGGTATAATGTAAACCAATACGTTTTCCTGGAGAATGCCTCTCTAAAACCTTAAAAACATTAACCCTTTCGACTCAGGCATATGGATTCTAAACTGAAGAAGAAATTAGAAAGGTAGATTAAAAACTTGGGCAAAAGATGATTGCTGCATAGCTATTTATAAAAATAAGAAACTGGACACACTTCAATGTCCAATAAGGAAATGCAAGCAACTAGTAGTTTCATCACCTCTGTATACTTAGCACAGGGTGCTGGGCGACATTAATCATATGATATAAGGATAACAGCTAATATTTACGGAGGGTTCACTACGCGTTCGTCGTGTGCTAGGCACGGTTCTAAGCATCTTCATCTTCACAACAACCCAATCAAGTAGATACTCTTACTCTCAGGTAAAGAAACTTAAGTTTTGAACTTGTATTCTTAGCCACTGTATCAGGTAGTCAGTACATGTTTCTGAAATACACTGAATGCTAATGCTTGTGGGTATGTTAAATAAAAGCACACCAGGTCACCTGTATTAAGTTATGCCTGTTCCAAACTATACATATAACTCGATCTCAATTATAGGAGAGCAGCTTAAAAACTCACAGGAAAAAATGTTAACCATGGTTGATCCCCCTCCTCCCCCCTGCTACACTTCAGACTTCTCATATTTTCCAAAATTTCTACAATGAACACGAATCTATACTAATAATCTATACTAATAAAAGGGTAATATGCTAATTAGACTGGGAGACCTTCCGGACATAGCCATGGTGGTGGGGCCAGGCAGAGGAGATTGGGGGCGATCAGGACAGGAGGGGAGGGTAGTTGGGGGCGATCAGGACAGGAGGGGGGCAGTTGGGGGCGAGCAGGTCAGCAGGGGGGGGCTGTTGGGAGCAAGCAGGGGGGGGGGTAGTTGGGGGCAAGCAGGCTGGCAGGCAGGCAGGTGAGTGGTTAGGAGCCAGTGGTCCAGATTGCGAGAGGGATGTCTGACTGCTGGTTTGTGGGATCGGGCCTAAACTGGCAGTCGGACATCCCCTGAGAGGTCCCAGATTGGAGAGGGTGCAGGCCGGGCTGAGGAACACTGGCCCCCCCCCCCCCACGAATTTCTGCACCGGGCCACTAGTTACTTTATAGTAAGAAAGTGAAGTATTTGTAACAAACATGTACATACTTAGTAGGTAATGCCGAGCAGCACCTTTGCTACTGGCGATCGTTATTTTAGGTAAAAAGTTCGTTATTAGATGCTAAGCCCATTAGAGTAGGAGCTGATGCAGTCAGCACCCTCACCCCCTCGGAACACCAGCCAGAAGCATAACTGCGCTCACTTCCGTGTGTCTGAGCCAGTTTCTCATGCACTTTAGAGAGAAAACCCAAGACATCGTCCAGTCCCACTCGATCCGAAACTGGGGAAAGAGCAACAGGCTCGGAGGGAGAAGGTGAAATGTGAACGCGGAGGAACAAGAGGACGTGGAGGGGGCGGGGGCCAGCGTTCCGCGTCTTCCCGACCCCTTTACACACATAAATACAAACAATGGTTCTAAGGGTCAGTCGTAGACCCCGGGCGCGACAGGGTCGGGATGTAAACGCGAGTTGGAGGGAGGACGGAGGAGTCCACACACCCAGGGAGACCCGTCCTAGGTGCAGTCCGGGCGGGTGGAGGTGTGTGCGAGGGAGGAGTCCCGAGCCCGGAGTAACCGGGGCTGGGGTTGGGAGTGTCGGGGCGGTGGGGACGGGAAATCTGGGGGGGCGATCCTTAGGAACCAGGGGTGGTGGAGGCTGCGCTGGGGTCCCAAGGAGAAGCTGATCCTGGCACGTCCCCGGCACAGACTTTCGTACCCTCCAAGGTGATGGTGTCCAGCTCCCGCTGGGAGTGCTCGGTCGCCGTCGCCGTCTTCCCGTCAGCGTCCCCCGTTGACCCGCTACCCGCCGTCGCCTCCTCTTTCATCTCCACATCCTGGGGGGCCGGGGGTGCCGGCGGTTCCTGTTCCCCTCCGCCCGGCGGCGGCTTCGCCTTGTCCGCGCCGCGGCGCCGCGCGGAGCCCTCCTGCTTCATGGCACACGGGGTCGCGGCCTAGTCCGGGGACTGAGGCCGGGGCCTCGCGTGAATCCCCGCAGCAGAGAGCAGGAACCAAGTCGGGCCTGCACACGAGCGCGGGATCGCTACGGGCCGCACGATGACGGAGCAGCAGCAAACCCTTTCCCAGCGCGGGGCCTGCTGGGAGACGCCAGGCCCACTGGGCCGAAGGCCGAGTCAACAAAGGGGAAAGAAATCAACAGCCGAGCGCAGGATGGGGGCGGATCTTCGAGGGAGCGGAGGGGAGGAGCCTGTTGGGGTTTGTGGCGCTTGCTTGGCAGTATTTAAATGTTGATTTTCTTCTATCTTCCTCCGGAGTGCATTTCTGTGCTTGTCCACGAGAGGTCCCCACAGGCTCCAAACTGGGTTTCATCGGACTCGGCGCCTCAACTAGCGCGGAGTGCGTAGGCCCCGCCGGAGCGCAGGGCGTGATGACGTCACGAGGCGCCGGGACGGTTTCGGCCCAAACTCTCCGGGTTTGCCCGCTGCTGAGTCGCCTTCCAGACCCACGAGGCTCACGTTCAACGGCTGCCCAGTGCGTCCCGCGCAAGGGAGGAAAAGCTGCGAACGAGGGAGGTGGAGCTAGGCTGTTGGGCTTAAAATAAAACCGAACCATGGAATCCAGCCTTCCTGATCAGGTTTTTAGCTAACGCTGAAAATGAGGCATAAAACCCCTGCAGCCTGGGAGGGTGGGTGGGCGTAGAGCGCGTTTGCGTACAGTCACTCCAGTGTAATGAAGTGTAGGGGTCCACTCTGTATGGCCCGGGGCTAGTGCATTGGGGTCGCCGTGGTAACGCATAGCTGCAGAAAGCGGTCTGCTGGAGGCTGTGCTCCGGCTGCCGTGTGTTGTGAAGGAAAGAGGCTGGAAGCCCCTCCTGGCAGAGGCTTCAGGGAGTCCTTTGGGGCGCCTGTAGGCATCCAGACAGACACTGTAGTGAAATAGGGAGCAGAATAATGGTGTACCGGAGAGCCTGAGACTCCCCCAGGGGAAGGAAATTGGATCAGAAGTTCTGTCCACTTATTTTACAAAGGAATCGTTCAGTGATTCTGCAGGAGGTGGATGTGTGTTCTAATTTCTTAAGACAAAACAACAACTTGCTACCCTCTTGGAACTTTTATCTCCTTCATAAACGGAGGTCCTGAGTTTTAGACCAGGTCAGACCCTCCAAGACAGTCTAGCTATCTTGTAAGGTCCTAGAAGACAGAGAATATGTTTTCACTATCTTCTCCTTTAAATTTATGTATATAGAAAAAAATTATTTAAATTTTTTAAAAGTATTGATTGATTTTAGAGAGAAAGAGGAAGGGAGAAAGAGAAACATCAATTTGTTGTTCCACTTATTTATGCATTTACTAATGACCTGGTGCACAGATTTGTGCACATTGAAAGGAAATTAATTAGAAGGTGGCTGGCCGGGCAGGACTGGGCGAGAGCGGCCAGACACACCCTGGAGCCAACTGCCCGGATCCCTCCCCAGTGTCTGCGGAGTGAGCGAGGTCCCTCCAGCAGGTAGAGTCCCTTGTCCTGGCCTGCGGGGATTGGGCCAAAACCAGCTCTCCGACATCCCCCAAGAGGTCCCAGAGTGCGAGAGGGCACTCTACAAAGTTGCTGTCGTTCAGGGTGTGGAACGCAAACCCAAGAGTGCAGCAAACCAGATCGGGGCCGACAGTGCCCCAGCAACAACATAGCCCACGGCTGAAGGTGGAATCTCACGGCCTGCGAGGAATCGGGTTCCCTCCTCTCTGGTTTCGGGGTGCATCACCCAAGAACCTCCGCTGCCAAGTCACTGCAGCTCGGCAGCTCCTGCATTGAGCATCTGCCCCCTGGTGGTCAGTGTGTGTCATAGTGACCAGTCGGACGGTGGGAGGGACACTTAGCATGTTAGCCTTTTATATATATAGAAGATTGGTTGATTCTTGTATGTGCCCTGACCAAGGATCAAACCTGCAACCTTGGTGTATCCAGACAATGCTCTAACCAACTGAGCTACCTGACCAGGGCTTTACCACACCCTTTTCATACTTTTGTACCAAGTAGCTCATGCACTAAACAGCCACTTGCTAAATGGAAAAATGTGTGCTCCAGTTTTAGGGAACATGCCTTGACCAATTCTTCCCTAACTATCCCCCTTCCCCGTAGGGCTCGGGAATGGATAACAGGACTTTTGAGTCATCACTGGAATAAACTCATTAAAGCCTCTTCATAACGCCATATCTGTAACTGAAGGTGGGCGAGAATGGCAAAGGAAGAAAACAGGTGAGCTTTGTTGTTCATCTTTACGAAGTTACCCTTCTGGATAGTTAGGGTGTGAGCTCACCTCTTTATTATGTTTACTTCATAAGATTAGAACAATCAAGTCAGCAGATAACTACTCAGTATGTTCTTGAGCAATAGAGTGAGGCCTTAGAAGATGCCCCAGAATGGGGGAGGATGGCTTAACACAAAGTCTTTGGCAGTTGGTCATGAATTCTTGGTGAGTGAGGGAACTAATCAAGGCAAGGGGTGGCTAAGAAGGGGAAGAGTTTGACTCCTGGGGCCAAAAACCTTGGAGAAATTATTCCACCCATAAAACCATTTTAAAAGGGATTGGTGAAAGATAGTAAAACCAAGTTTCAGGCAGAGGAGGAAGGTATAAATCTAGCAGTTTTATGAGATTGTAATATCCATGTTAGCAAGTCCATATGCAAGTCCACCCATATCACCTCCTACCACAACCACCCTGAACTGAGAGCAGAAGAGGAAAAGGTGAAATCAGAAAAGAATAGCACAATTTCTTTTAAAAAAGTTTTTGGTCAATATATATATTGATTTCAGAGAGGAAGGGAGAGGGAGAGAAAGAGAGAAACATCAATGATGAGAGGGAATCATGGATCAGCTGCCTCCTGTATGCTCCCCACTGGAGATCAAGCCCGCAACCTGGGCATGTGCCTTGACCAGGAATCAAACCTCAACCTTCTGGTTCAGAGGTCAATGCTCAACCACTGAGCCACACTGGCCAGGCAGGTATCTTTTTTTTAAACACCTATTTGCATTTTAAAGTTATTTATTTTTAGAGAGAGGGAGAGAGAGAAACACCCATTTGTTGTTCATTCATTCATTCATTGATTCTTGTATGTGCCCTGACTAGGGATTGAACCCACAACCTTGGCATATTGGGACAGTGCTCTAACCAACTGAGCTACCTGGCCAGGATCTATCTGCATTTTTATCCAATAAACTTGAAAGTTGTCTTACTCCTGTTTTGGGTTTGTACAATGTATCTCTAGGTTTTTGCCTTTCCCAGTCCCTTAACCCAAGTCCAGGGGGCTCCAAAGGCTCCTCTATGAAGACACGCTGCTTTGATGATATTCTCTCTTTAGAATCTAGATTCCACATTCTGTAGCCTCATAGTTCTTCTCTGAGTACTTGCCAGCTGGCCTGAGGACAGTGTAATAGTATTCATGTACATATGATCTATATGTAGTGTGATAATGTCTATTTTCTTTTCTGACATGAGTTAAGAATTTCCTTATGATAGATTCTTTAAAGAAAACACCAAAGACATTTCATCCAAAGTGAAATATTTTCCATGAATTCCAGTGAAGCTTGATTTTTAAAAGCACAAGATTGAGGGATTGGGATAGGAAATTAATTAATTTTTGTTTTGCTGAAATGGTTTATAATTTTTAAAATTGTGTTTCTACTCTCAGAGGACTTAAGCATCAGCGGATGAGCTCAGCGGGTAGCAGCACTACAGGGGCAGGAGGAGATAGAGTTGGTCAAGTGGAAATTGGTTATCGTGGGGGATCAGCTCGGGTTTCCATCATCCTCAGCCTGGTGGCTATGAAATGCCCTTGGATGTTAAGGACATAGCACAGTGAGGTGGGGGAGGCATTAGGGAAGCAGGAAGCAGATGGAAAAGGCGAGTTAGGAGGCCTTGGTCAGCAGCTGCAGGAAGGAGAGGCCAGCGTAAAGGGCACAGAGGTGGGGGAGGGTGTCTGGGTCCCACGTGTACTGGGGGCCCGATCTCTGCACTTCCAGGCCGCTCAGCCCCACGAGGGCCTCTGTGAGGATCAGTTCTTCTTCCCCAAGGGAGGAGAGCAGGTTAGATTGCAGGGGAAAAACACCCTCTTTGTCCTGCAGGAAATTCTGTTCCATTGTGCTCTCCACCTGGAAGGAACCAAAACAGCATGAAAAGAAAGAACTGGAAACCTCCTTTCCTTTCTCCTAACTCATAAAAACCACAAAGATGCCTACCTTTCTCTTATTATAACTCTTTTCATTACATTACATTACAACTCCACCTGGGCCTTTTTTTAAACATTGATTTTAGAGAGAGGCAGGGAGAGAGAGAAACATCAATTGAAGTGCCCTGACCTCAATGTGCCCTGATCGGGGATCGAACCCGCCACCTTTTGGTGTGTGGGACAACGCTCCAGCTCCAACCAACTGAGCCACACTGGCCAGGGCCCATCTGGAGCTTTTAACAACCCTGTACAGAGGGCAGCTCATTTATTTTTAGCCCCATTTTACTCAGAGACATTAAAAGATGTGTTCACATCACTTGGCTAGGACTAAGCAAAAACAGAGTGTTCTGTCTCTCCTCCCACGATCAGGCTAAAAAACCCAGATTATCACCCAGACGTCTACTCTTCTATCTCTAGTTGTGAAATAGCAAAAAGGAAGAAACGGAGAGAAATGAGAAGGGTCATGAGGTGCTGGGAGAAGACTCCAGGATGGTTCTGTCATGAGGCTGCATTTGTCTCTTTTCCCTGGTTCTGGCTGACTCCCTCCCGCCTCTCCCCCGTGTCTGCTGCTTCTTCTCACAAGTTTTAGTTGCACAGGCAGGATCTTCTTCTCCATGGATTTCACCAGCAGCTTCTGTTGGGCTTCACTTAACTCTGAAGAAAAGGGCAGAGGAAGAGATGTGTGTTGGTGGTGCATAGGGAGTACAGACTCCACGTGGGTACCCTTCCAGACTTCAGCATCCATTCATTCATCCAGCCACCCACAGCTGAACGCCTGCTCTGGGCCAGGCACCTTTGCTGAGTATGTTCGGTAAAAATGTACTCCCTTCACTCAAGGAACCTGCATTCTAGTGGAGAAAAACCAAGGGACACGCAAATACAGCACACAGTGTGAGGGGAGCCATAGCTCAGGGGTCTGCTTTGGTCTTGGCATTTGATGGCAGACTTCTTAAGAGAACAAACATCTCAGCTTATACCTGAAGGACCAGAGAATTCTTTTAAGTGGGGGAATGTTTCCTGCAGAGCGAAGACGAGAATTCAGGGGGCAAGATCAGAGGATGTTACCCCCTGAAATGAAAGCTAACGAATATCGATAACATGTGATGAGATTATCTATATGTTATGCCAACCCCTGTTAGCAAGACTAGGCCATCTTCTCAGACTATCCAAGGTGACCAAGTGAATCCTTAGGCATGAGACCAATTTTTAAAAATGTAGATATAAGCTACTTCATTTGCTATAATTTGCCTGGCATTCATTCATTTACTGATTCATTCATTCAAACATTTGGGAATTCACTCAGTGATTCATTCCTATCACCAAAAGGGTGTATAAATGAAGGCCTTATTCCTTCCTTACCTGTTAGGGCTCCCAGGAAGTAGAGGATGGCGCCCATCACCTCCTTGGATATGAGGACATCTTTTGGGAGTGCCTCCAGCGTCACTTCATGTCCTTTGTCTAGAGCCCCTTCAAGCTGTGAGGAAAGGTGGGTGAGTAAGATAACACGAGGAAGGGGCCCAGCACGGTGTCTGGCACATAATCCCTGGACATGTGTCAACTTTGTCCGATTTCCAGATTTCTTTTTCAAGGTATCAAGTCCTGAAAATATTGGACTGACTTAGGTTCCTTGGTTCCTGAGCCTTGCATCCTGGAAAGGAAAGTTCCGGCCCCTTCCAAGAGAGGGCCTGCTGGCCTGCTGCCTCCCCTGTCCATCAGGAAGGAGCATGTGCCTTGGAGGAAACAGCACTGTCCTTCTCCAGAGGCACCAGGGCAGCCGGGGGCACCTGGCCAGCTTGGGGAAGGCATCCGCTGTCGCGTCCCCTGGCCCCTGATCACCTCTGCCAGGTGTCAGCCCCCGCCCCCCCCCCAGCTGCACCTTCTCCCAACCCCCCTCCCCCCACACACTTCCACTGGGACCTCACCGTGAGCTCCAGGTCTTGTAGCTCCTTTTTCTTTCCTAAAAGTTTGCTGAGGGCCGTGAGCAAGGAGCTTTGTCCCACGTGACTCAGCTTCTCCACTTCTTGGGTCTCTCGTTGAATCTCTTCTTTTAGTGTCTTGAAGTCTTCATGCATCTCCCCCTGTGGGGACAGTAACCGTGGCAAACAGGCGGCTCTCCACCTGGCACCCTCCCCGCTCAGTCAGCGTTCTCCCTTCACACCCCTCGCAGGTCCCCGTGCTCTCCTCCCAGCCTTAGCCTGGCCTCTTGTTTTTCTTGACCAAGGAACGAAATTATGAAGTTATCCATTAGCCCTGACTTGAGATGCGTATGTGTGTATGTTGGGGGGAGGCTGTTAGGGGTGAGGAGGGGCCCAGGACCCACAGTACCATCTAAGCCTTAGTCATTCCCCCTGAGCTCCCAGGCCCCACCAGGGAGCAGCAGACAAGTGACTTCCCTTTCTCTAAGACTGGCTAAAAGTTGAGAAGGAAGGTCTATTCCCCCTTCTCCTGAGTTAGTTGGCAAAGAAGAATGATTGGTGACGGAGTGAAGGCCGAGATGGGACTGCTCCTGAGATCCGTGGGTGGGTCTATAGCCAGGGAGGTGAGTGGATCAGGGTTGGCTTGAACCTTGGCCTGACCCTGTAGGGACCTGGCCTCCTAGGAGTATGTCCAGCCCGCTTTGGAGAGATTGGCTTCCTGGCAGTGGCGCCAATCCCCACGACCTGGGACTTGTCTCCCCCTCCCTCCACCCCAGTGCTTCTCCCACACCAAAGTCTTGGGAGAAACTCAGAAAATTCCTTACCAACATCGGATGCCTGGATGACTGGAGGAGAAACAAAAAACAATGATAAGAATGTAATCCTCCCAAACATAGCCATACCCAGGCGATGAAACATTGATGGGGGGTTAGGGTACCCAGCCAGGCGATGAGGTTTGATAGGGGGTTAGGATAACCAGCCAGTTTAAGGAGACTCTTGCCCCATTCGTGGGAGGCAGGGCCGGGTCAGGAGAAAAGCTAATGCAATGGGAAAATGGCAGCTGGATTGAGCTGTCAACACTGACTCAGCTGCTTCCGCCCCAGGTGCTGGGCGGTGGGTGGAGTTGCAGAGGTGTGTGTGTGACAGGTTAGAGCTACCAAGGCCCTCGAGGACAGCGGTCCGGTCCAAGGCATCAGACCACCTGGGCATCTCATGTACAGACTTTCCCTTTCCACTGCTTGTCCCTAAGCTATTGGAATTTCTGCCACGTGTCAGGGACAGTTGCTTGCTGAGATGTGCCCTGCCATGCTCCCTGTCAGTCCCACGGAGAAGGAAATAAAACAACAACTGGAGTTTTAAAATTCTGAGTCAAAAAAATTACAGTGAAATGGCAGGGAACACTTACGGATGAGCTTCTCCTCTTCTGGCTTTCCTGAAGACAGAAACAATGCACATGTGTCAGCATAAAACCTACTCATGCCTTTTGATCTAGAGCAGTTGTCAAGGCAGCTTCATCAGTGATCATTATAAAAACACACAGAGCCATGCCAGCTGGCCAGCGTGGCTCAATGGTTGAGTGTCGACCTATGAACCAGGAGGTCACAGTTCAGTTCCCGGTCAGGGCATAGCCTGGGTTGTGGGCTAGATCCCCAGTTGGGGGTGTGCAGGAGGCAGCCCATCAATGGTTCTCATCATTGATGTTTCTATATCCCTCTCTCTCTCCCTCTCCCTTCCTCTCTGAAATCAATAAAAATATATTTTAAAAAATCACACACACACACACACACACCCCACCCCACACTGAGACTATGTTAGCTCAGTCTGCCCACACTCTGAGAACACACACTGTCTCCGTCTTATTTCTGCTTCCAAGTGTGCCTTCCAGTCTCTGTTTCTCTATCCCTCTTGGGTGGTACTCATAGGCCTTTGTCTGTCTTTCCTAGAGTTCAGAATAGATATTTTTAGGGGAAACAAAACCAGGGGGGTTTTGGTGTGTGTGTGCTATTCAAGGGCACAGTCTTTAGCAGGTAATGTCAGGGGCCGGGCAGAAGGGTGGGGAGCCAAAAAAGCAATCTCACTTACCTCCAGGAGGGAAGGGTCTGCATGTTATCATTGCAGATATGTGGGATCTCTGTAAGGAGCAAGAGAGGAGAGCAGGGACCTTAGACAGCTGCCCCGCCCCCCCTTCTTTCTCTAGTCTCACGTCTATGGGCTCTACGGAGGGCTGGGAGCCTGCCCTCAAATGCCTCGCTGCATCTTCGGCTCCTCCCCCTCTTGCTAGAAGGAATCCTTTCCCCTCTGTCAGTCCTTCCCTGTGGTGATAACAGTATTCTCTCTCTTGCATTCGAGTACTGGTGTCTGGGTCTGTTTCCTCCACTGGCCACAGGCTCCTTGAGGCTGATTGCTCTCTGTGCCCTCTCCCCCGAAGCTGACGCAGTGCCTAGCACACAGGAGATGCTCAGAACCAGGAGTCCCTTCACTGTCTCTCTCCAGGGCAGCCCCTGCTGTTCTGTTCCTTGACGTTGGACCACCACACAACACTCTCGTTCACTAATTCCCTGACATTGCCACAAGAGGGGGCCAGGACGTCTTAGTATCAGTGCAGGTCATTCTTGTCTTGAGGGGAGAACACGCTGGTGTCTACTCACCCCACTCATTCTCCCCTTTGACCATCAGCTGTCTCACTCGAAAGGCCAGGATGCAGCCCTTGGGGATGGTTACCGCCTCCTTGTGGTTGATGGATCCCTAGGATTGGACAGTGAGGATTTGTGAATCTGCAGAGATCCTGAGTATGAGACATTGGAAGTGGGGGGTGAGGGTGCAAGTGAAGGGCCAGTTTGAGGGCCTCTGGGGAGACAAGAAGTTGGGAACCCTTCACTGGTGTCCCTGGTTGCCTTTCTACCTGGAGTGGGCTTCACAGCTCCTCTGCTCATTTCCACAGGTCACCCCACTCATGATCTGCGTCTCCCTTCCTGGCTCAGACACAGGAAGGAACTGGGCAGACCTGCTCCATCACCTGCCTGTGCATCCCTGTCCCACCTTGGGACTTCCATCCAGGCCTTGGTTCCTTCTTCCTCTTTGCAATCTGTCCCTTGCTCACCTCCTTCAAGAAACCTTCCATGACTAACTCCTACTCCCAGTTCCAACTCATCCCTTGAATATTTATACAAAATAGACAGAGGTATCCAGAACATTACTTCTTTACATGGAATTTTCCAACCTATGTGTCTCCTCCATGAGACTGAGAACAAGGATGTCTCTGTGTAGATGGGGAGCACCATGAGGATATACCATGACTGTGAGTTTCCCCTTCTCTGACAGATCCCTGTGGCATGTGGCACAGGGACCCGCCACACTGGGTGCTATTGACCAGAGGCAGGATTCGTGTCGGGCCAGCAGGGGACTGGATCTTGAAGAGCAGGGAGAAAGAATGGGTCCTTGATAGTGTCCTGGTTGGGCACTGATGGGGCAAAGTCAATCTAAGAGAGTGTGTGTGTGTGTGTGTATGTGTGTGTGTGTGTGTGTGTGTGTGTGTGTGTATGAACCAAACCTGTAGCCCCAATGGGGCGAAGAAAGGGAGGGAGAAGACGCCCTCTGCCTTGCCGGCTCTCTCTAGAGTGACCTCCTGCACAGTCTCCACCACCTCCATCACCACATACAGGTTCTCCCCTCGATCTCGCATCTCTTTCAGGAACGGGTGCTCCGCTTCCAGCTTCCTGTGGCAGGAGAGACATAAGGGAATCGTCCGGAGCTTCTCCCTGCCCGGGCCCTGGCTTCCCTTTTCTTCTGTCGTTCCCAGGTGCTAGGCATAGCAGTGTCATGTCAGGGAGAGAGTGAGGACTTGGAGGAAAGCCCGAGGTTGAAACCCAGATCCCCGCTTATAGCAGGGCAGCTCCTCTGAGTCTCAGTGGCCTCATCTATAAAGTGAGGATAATGACACCTGCCTCCAGGTGCTGAGAGAGACTGGCAGTCATCTGGCCCGGGACAGGGCCTCATGGTTGCTTCTTTCTCCTTTATTCCTTGGCCCTGGGGTGGACTCCCTTCCCTTTCCTCCCTGTTCCTAGCTCTGTCCATCTCCTCCAGGGTCCTTTCTCTCCATCTCTTATCCCCTCTCCTGCTGTTAACACCAGTTTCCCTCTCTACTTGCTTACACATAGAAACATGTCCTTTGATCTTGCTACTCCCTCCCATTGCCATTGTTTCTTTCCTTCACTTCATTGGCAAATATATCAAAAGGTATGCCTATACCCACTGTCTTTACTTCCTCCCCGCCTTCGCCAAAATTCTTTATGCTTTGGCTTCTGTTTCTACTCCTCAACTGAAGTCACAACGACTTCCCACTTAACAAACTCAAAGACCTTTCCTAACTTGGAGCAACATTGGGCCCTGCTGTCCAACCCCCCCAACCCCCCACCCCTCACACCCCTCGAGATGCTGTCTTCTGGCTTCTGATCACCTGGTGCCGCCCCGGTTCTGCTCCTGTCTTTCTGCTTCTAAATCCTATCCATTCTGTCTGCATCACATTTGCCCTAAAATGTTATGTTGCCTAAGATTCTGTTCTCAGTTCTCTGCTCTCTGAACTCCCACCCCATTCCTATAGTTGTAACCTTTGTGTGGCTGATCACCACGTATGTATTTATCTCTTGACTTCTCTCCTGAACTCCAGACCCTCATTTTCAAATACCATTAACATTTATAAAAATTGAGGTCTTGCTGACATATAACACTGTACTAGTTTTAGCTGCATAACATCATGATTTTATATATGTATATATTGAGAAGTGATTACCACGATGAGTTTAGTTAACATCCATCACCACACGTAATTACAAATATTTTTTTCTTGTGATGAGAACTCTTTTACGATCTACTCTCTCTAGCAACTTTCAAATATAGAATACAGTGAGGCCTTGACTTACGAGTTTAATTCGTTCCGTGACGGAGCTCGTAACTCAAATTACTCCTATGTCAAATCTTAAAGTGAACGAGTGAGACACGTGGTGCTGGGCTGATGTTGTGGCGTTCACTGTGACGTTCGCTGCGCCAACTAGCGGTGGGGTATCTGAAGCTGGCTCATAACCCGAATTTTAGCTCGCAACTCAAAGCAAAAAATCGGCCGAGAGACGGCTCGTATCTCGAAAAACTTGTTAGTCGGGACACTCGTAAGTCAAGGCCCCACTGTACAGTGTGGTTAACTATAGTCACTCCAAGTACCTGTTGACCACTCTCACCTGTTGTCTCAGTGGAGACACGAACTCAAAACATCCACAATCTTTCTCTCCAAATACACTTCTAAGCTTGGTCTTCCTGTCTTTATTAATGTCATTACTTGGGTCAAATATCAAAGTCATCTTGGGGTTTTTATTCTTATATATTTATTTATTTCAATAAAAATCATGTATATATTTAAGGTGTACAACACGTTTTGTTATACATAGAGAAATGATTATTGTAGTCTAATTAACATACCCATCTCACGGTTACCTTTTGTGTGTGTGTGTGGTGAGAGCACCTGCAATCTACTTTTACAAATTTCCAGGAAACAGTATAGGATTATTAACTATAGTCCTCACACTGTACGTTAGATCTAGATCAGCGTCGTCTTTGACAAGCCCACTCCCTTCCCCTGGAGTCAGTCGGCAGGTCTAGTCCGTTCTGCTGCCCCAGGGGCCTGGCAGCCATTCCTCCCTCTTGTTCTGACTGCGTCTCCCAGCTCAGGTCCTCACGTTACATCCCTGATGGACAGTGGGACAGCGCCTTGCCTGGTCTGCCTGCTTCAGCTGCTTCAAACCCCTGCCTCTTGTGCACTAACTAACACTCTTCCTCCATCTGGTTGGACTGATCATGACATACATGAGAGCATCGCCAGGGTCTCTCTGGTGCCTATGGGATAGTTGCATCTCCTTGAGCAGACACCGGGTTCCTGCATGTTCCGGGCCCACCCTAACCTCCCTTTGCTCCACTCATACCTCTTTGTGGTCCCTATAAGTTTTGCGATTTCTCACCCACGTGCCTTACCAATGCCCTTCTCTCGGCCCTGGATGTCCAATTTCTACTTGTCTTTCAAGGCCTAGATCATGGACTGCGTCCCCTGTGAACTCTGTCCTCATTTCCCCAGCTAGAAGTCCCCCTGACCTGCCACAAAACTCAGACAAACCCCTCCTATGGCACTCACCACTTCTTGCCTTGAAGTCTAGTTACTGTTACACACTCTTCTCACACTCCTAGATCTCAGGTTCTTGGACCAAGATGTTCTAGTGCACCCCAGCACCTAGTAGGGTGCTTTGCACTTAGTGAAGCTTTATACATTTTACTGGATGATTTCTCAAGCGCCCCAGTCCTTCCTTCCTGCCTCCCAAGCCTTCACCTGCTTCTTTCAACCACTACTTAACTACTTAAAAGTCAGTTCCCCTGTCAAAGCAAACATCTGAGGTGCCCAGCATCAGTATGGCATCTGCCACACCCCTTGTGCTGCTGAGGTAGCAATCCCAAGGGCTGCCCTGAGTGTGTGGGGGCCAGGCTTGAGGTAATTTATGAGAGCAGACTGCTGGCTCAAGCTGCAGTGCGGAGCAGTTAAGGCCCTTTTCTTTTAAAGTGTATTTCATAGTCTTAGGGTAGGAAGGGACCCTTGAGATTTCCATCCAACCCCATCATTTTTCAGGAAACAAAACCGAGGTCCCAAGAGCAGAAATGATTTTTCCAAGGTCATAGAGCAAGTTCATGTGAATACACTCATCCTCCTATGTGTGTGATGGGGGTGGGGGTGGGGGGAGGTGGTACCAGAGGCAGTGGAAGGACAGGGGAGTGGTTCGAAAGTGGCCTGGAGGCACCCATCGGCCAGAGCATCATCTTTAAGAGTTCCCCTTTAACTCTGGGACCAAGGCACCCTTTCCATGCAACACCCTACCCCATCCTGGTAGCCCCCTCCCTGCCAGCTCTCACCTCTCCTGGTGCAAGGCCTCCAGGGCCTTGGGAGCCACACTGAGTGTCTGGACCTCCAAGGTGCTGCTCCGAGACAGCCCCGCAGTCCCCGTCACCTTGACTGTCCTTGGCACGTCCACCTGTCCCTCCACTCGGGCATCCAGCATATTCTTAAAGGCAAAGTTCCCCGAGTCTGTTGGATCTGCAGGAGGGAGAAGATGAAAGGGGCTGGGCCGAGAGGCATCGACCCGCCGTCCCCCACCTCCCGTGAGCACTTTGGGCTAGATGACACCTAACCACATCTGGGTAGAGGGAGCTTCGGGTCCTCGTGGGCTCATGCCTGAGCCCCCTCCCTCAGTCCCCAACCCCACGCCCGAGGCTTACTTGAGGGGCAGCTGCCGGGTTCCAGCACGTCCAGGAGGGTGTAGTCGGTGCGCAGGTACCGGGCGCCCCAGAAGAGCGTGCTCTTCCGTTTCCTCAGCACCAGGCAGAAGGGGTGGAAGCGCTTGAAGTCTATGAGGCTGTCCAGGGGTGTCAGATCCCCTCGAGGGTTTAGCTGTCTGGTCAGGGCCCGGGTGACATTTTCAAACATGGTCATTGTCTCTGGGGAGTGGGAGGGGGGGGAGACAGAGAGTGACAAGTTGGGAGACCAGGCCATGGGAAGGCCCCTGCAGAGAGATGCCTGGATTCTTGGAATGTCAAAGGATTCTTCATTTTATGACGAGGAAGGGAGCCCTCGAGAGCTGAGGCAGCTTGCCCAGAGCCACTGTCTGGCTAGAGAAGCCAGCCCTGCCCTTTCTCTGTCCAGGACTCATCTCAACCCACACACATTTTATTCACAAACTTGCAGCCTGGCCGGAGCGTTTCATCAGTGATGGCAGTCAAGCTCTTCTCACAAAGCTGTGCCTACCCCATCTTCTCAGAGAAGAGTGACAGCCAGGACCAGGGATGCCAGGGGATGGAGGCAGCCACCACTGGCGCTGAGAGCCTGGGGAGGCAGGTGTCCTGTTTGGGGGGTTGGAGTCACTTCCCTGTACCCTTACCTCCCGATGCCCTCCTCCTGGCTCCTGGGTGTGGGAGCCACTGCCCTCCGGGGCCTGCCCAGCAGATCCAGGCATCTCACTGCTCTTTGCCTTGGTTCTCCTTCTGCTTACAATCCCTCCCTTCTAACCTAGAGTCACTAGCCAGCCTTTAAGAGTTAATTTGGGTCACCTCCTCTGTGATCTCTCCCCTCATCCTTTCAGACAGCTAGTGACTCCACCCCATGTCCCCAAAGCAGGTGTCCTTCTGAAACACCTGCAACCTCATGTTGTTATGATCTGTTCACCGGACTCTCTGACCTACTCTACTGTGACCTCCCAGAGGGAAGGAAATGGCTGTTAGTCATCTCAGCAGCATCAGCACCAGGCACAGTGCCTGGCACAGACTTGGAGCTTGGCGTATGTGTGCAGAAAGAGTGAATGAACTAATGGATGAATGTGGCCCTGGGAGACACAAGCTGAGGTGAAAGGGCCCTAAAGAATGGGGGGCCTGCAAGAGCCTGAGGTTCCTACTCTTAGGTGTCTGTCTTTGAGGTTCAAGTCCAGGTGCACTGGCTGGGCAGCCAGCTGGCAGAGCCAAATTATCCCCGTGGGTGGAAGAGGCTATACCAGCTGGCCGGGAATTGCTTCACCTCCCCTGTAGGCACTTCGGAGAATCATGGAAGCAGGAGGCAGTGCACAGATGTATGGGCTGTTCTGCCAGCCCCATGAGCTCTCCTCACTCCTAGGAGGGCCAGGATGGGGCAGGGCAAACTCCCGGGCCAGCCAGACTTCCCTGGGAGGGGCTCGGACGGCTGCAGTCTCCTCACCAGAGAGGTGCTCACAGGCTCCCTTCGCTCCCCAAGGCCAATCAGGATACCAACCCTATTGGGCTCTCGGGGACTCCTCGGCCCTTCTTGACCCACCCCTGTCCTTGTCCATCCCTCGAACAGCCCCTGCCTTCTCCACTGTCATCAAGCTCTTACCAGCGAGTGGTGCTAGGTCCTGTCGGGCAGCTGGGTCCGGGGTGAGGGCCCGGGGCTCACTTGGTCTGTGGGTCAAGAGAGTGACTGTCCCTCACCAGGACAGGCTGCTGCTTTATGTGTCTGTGGAGGGAAGGATGTAGGCCTGCCCCAGTGACCCCACCCCTCTCCCGCTCCACTTCTGGGAGAACAGCATCAACCTGTTCCACATGTGTCCTGCCCCAGGCCCCAGGCAGGTGCCAGCGTGGGTGGGGGGAGAGGTGGCAACTGAAGGTCAGCTTAATGGGCTGAGAGGAGAGGAAAGACGGCACCTTTGGGAGAAAAGCAGTGGAAGTTGGTGTGTGTGTGTGTGTGTGTGTGTGTGTGTGTGTGTGAGAGAGAGAGAGAGAGAGAGAGAGAGAGAGATGAGGGAGGGCATCTCTGTTCTGTCATCATCACGGTCATCAGGAAGCATCCAGGATTTATGATGAGCCCTTGGGGTCTGATAAGTGGATACGAAATCCTGTGTTTACAGATTCCAGCGTAAGCGGAGCAGCTGTAAGCGGCCTCCATCTTCCTGCCAGTCAGCCCGCCTATTGCTCCCTAACTCCATTTGTTTTAGTTACATACGCGTATCTACGGCGCTGCTAGAAGCATATGTCTGTGTAGGCAGAGTTGGTTTTCTGTTTTTCTGTGTTCAGCATCTCTGCTCCTCATGCAACACTGTATATACACATACACACACACTTATAGGCAGAGGCATATGGAGTTAGCGGAAAACCCAAAACGTGGTGTCTGCTGTGAGAATTTAGATGTCTCACCATCGGTCACTCAAGTCTTGCTCTTACCTTGAATCCCCGCCAGGAAGGAATTTTAAAGGGGAACTTACACACCTGGGGAGGTCTCTAGATGACGCCTACGGGCCAGGCTCCTGGCGCACTGGGCTGTGTGTCCATGTCTGTGAGCGGGTCACCTGACTACAACTGAGCATCTGTGCGCTCAGCTGGAGGCTCTCCTCAGCATCACTCACCAAAAATGAAATGCAACCTTGAAAGCCACGAGGAGTAAGTTAGGTCTTTCCTGGAGGTTTTCTTGAGGGGATGGTGGTGAATGGGGAGATTAGACCACATCACACTCCATAAAACTCCCTAAAAACGTACTTATCCACCTCTGTCCCAAAGACTCCTTCAGTATGGCAGCTCCTCCCAAATCTCTTTTCTCTGTATCTTACACCGAACAAGCACGGGCCCCTGCTGGGTCTCTGGTCCCTGACCCCGGTCATTTTGCTCCCCCTCCTCTCAGGCCCTTCTCTAATACTTCCTCCTTCCGTAGCCCTAACCATGACCTTAACCTCACATCCCTCCCCCCGAGGAGAGGCAGGTAGGAGTTTGGACATGTAGGAAGGCTGTCATTCGGCCCCTTTCACACCTGCACATGTATGTAGAAATGTGTTGTGTGTATAATATCCTACCCATCTCTGTGTTTTCCTGGATTTTCGCTTCTTCCTCTCTGTATCTCTCTTTTTAAAAAATTATGTTTTTATTTTAGAGAAAGAGAGGAATAAAGAGAAAAACATCGATGGGCTGCCTCCGGCACTCCCCCTATTGGGGATCGAGCCCTCAATCCAGACAAGTGCCCTGGCCGGGAATTGAACCAGTGACCTCTCAGTGCATGGAATGGCGCTCAAGCAACTGAGCCACACCGGCCAGGGCTATATCTCCTGATCAGTGCATTGATGTATATAGTCCTGGGCTGTGCAGTTTCCCATCCCTTAGTCAGCTCCAGAGTAGGCAGCCCACTCTCAACCCTCTCACCAGCCCACCATTGCCTCAGTCAGACTTTTGGGAATTTTTTCCCCCAGTGTCCACTCTCCTCCCGCTGGCTGCAGGCCAAGATTTCCAGTCCAGCTCTACTTCCAAAGGGCTAGAGAACAGTGGTTTCAAGAAGCCACACATGTATCTGCTCTCTCTGAGGTAGACCCCAGCTCTCTTTCCTCTGCCCCAGAAGTTTTGCTCCTTTTCTTTCTCTTGCCTTCATTCATGCTGAACTCTACCAGGCTTGTCCTCATTCTCTTCGTCCTGTCCCCACCCCACCTCTGACACATTGAACCATTCCTCAAATTGCCTAATGGTGTTCCAAGCAGGAGGCTTGAAGGGTTCAAGGCAGAGAGAAAAAAATATGGGCTTGTGGGGTCAGCCAGGTTAAAGGTCTTGTGCTTTTGGGATAAAAGTATCCATGTCAGGTCTGCCCCTGTGCTGCTTCTCCCACCCATCCGGGTTGCCCTGTCTTTTTATAACACCCCCCCTCCGCCCCCCACCTCCCACCCCGCCCATAGTCTTAGGGCAAGTCCACAGAATCCCTTTAGGGTTCTTAAGATGCTGGTTTATGTTCCAGGGAATCTGGGGACATATTTTTTAAAAATATGTTTTATTGATTTTAGAGAGAGAAGAAAAGAGAGGGAGAGAAATGAAGGGAGAAAAGAGAGAGAAGGAGAGAAGCATTGATCGGCTACCTCCTGCACATCCCCCACTGGGAATCAAGCCCTCAACCCAGGCATGTGCCCTGACGGAAAATTGAACCAGTGACCTTTTGGTGCATGGGACGTCACTCCAGCAACTGAGCCACACCGCCAGGGCTGGGACATATTTTAAATTGTGCTGGAAGATGTTTAAGTTTGACTAATACGTAAGAACTCTTCAAGTCCATTAAAAGTGACTTACTGAGGTGGTGGTGCAAGGTGCTGATCAGGTGGCAGGCTTGCTCTCTTTCTCCCTCTGGTGGTCAATCAAGGGAGGTAATGGTCGATAATCACCCCTGAAGTGCACTCGAAGCTTTTGGTTTGGGTGTGGTTGCTAGGCGATGGGGATCCAGTCAGGGAATTGACTTAGGGGAGGACGCCCCAGCCAGCCGTTCTCTGGGAACCTGAATGTCTCCCAGAGTGACCCACAGAGTGCTCTGCAGACGCCGCAGACAGACATCGATATTGGGACGACATTACTTCCTTACCCTTTTTCCTTTTTATTACTGTTGATTTTCTGCTCAGCAAGGAGCCAAAGAGGAAAGAGAGGGGGGTAGTCTACTGGAGTTCAGGAGGGTGGAAGGAACTAATCCTGGCAAGAACAAGAAGAAGCTGGCAGTGATGGGGAGAAGGTTCAGGAACGTGCCTGTAAGATATGGAGCCCACTTGCAGGATGTGGGATGGCTGGAGTATTTGGGGGGGGAGTTACCCTTAGCACAGACATACTTCTGTATCTTCTCTGAGTAGAAGAAGGTGAAATAGCGAGAAAGGAAAACAGGCTGGAATGGAGGGGTGACTGTCTGGTGGAGAGGCAGGAAGAATACTCCCAAGGTCGTTGAATTTTACATTTCCCATGGGAGGCTGGAAGTTTTGGGGTGCAGACTGCATATTGTGAGCTCTCCTTCCATGAATGAACTTCTTTTCTGAGCAGAGTAAAACCCTCAGACTCCTTTCTTATCCCTTAAAAAACGTTGAGATTTCTCCCTAAATTGGAGCCCATGATATCTCCAGACTCCTTGCTGAGCAGACACTGTTCAGTGTCTGTGACACTGACTCAGCTCGAAGTTGTGCTGAAGAACTGAAGTGATAAACATACCTGTTCAGCTCGAAGCATGTCAAACTCAGCATCAACCCCCACGATGTCAGCGCCCAGCCCTCCACTGCTATCCTCCTGCAGATGCGGCTGGAGCAGGGGTTGGCGCTCCTGTCCACTCCATGGCTTTGCTCCTGGGCTGTGATTGCGAGGCTCTTCTGCTAGGACAAAGCCCCCCCCCCCCGATCCTTGTTAGAGAGACGGGGTCCCAGATGGAGCTTTTGAAGCTCTGCCTCCAACAGCTCTTGGAGCTGAAGTGCCTCCCCATTTCGCCATCTCCCCCAGGCCGGTGCCAAGCTCCACTCTGCTTCCCCTAGCCCTGGTTGGGGATAGCCAGGTGCTGTTGCCTAGTCCCTGAAGGAAGGAGAGGGTGGCACAGCAGTCCCAGAGTGATCACAAGGCATCAGCACCCCCATAGAGAGGGGTCCATCCCCTTGTGTGTCAAGGCTGCAGAGTCCCTCCAGGGCCTGGGTCACCTTCAGCTTCTCGCCCCAGAAGCCTCTGACCAGCTTGAAGTGAAGACAGAAGCGCACTGCCTCCCCTGGAAGAAATTCTCATCCAGGATGGCCTCCATCTGGACAGCAGAGAATAAATGTCACAGGATGCTTTGCATCTGCGGGGGGAGCCGCCAACTTCAGAGGTGTTCTGCAGTAAAAATGTAAATTTCAGCCCCTGCCCCCCATCCTTGACCTCTCTGCCCATTAGTTCTAGAGTCGAGCAGAAATGAGCACGGATTAAGAATCTGGAGACCCGAGTCTCTGGAGAGAGCTCTGCTAGGAGCCTGCAGCGTGGCCCTGGAGAAGTACCTTCTGTCTCTGGCCAGAGTGCTCATCTGGAGGAAGCGGAGCTGGGTGAGCTCCCGCACCCCCTCTAGTGGTCGCACTCAGTTTTACCATCGTTGTCATCCTTCGACCCTCAGACGCCTCACCCGCTCTGTCGGTTGGGGAAGGAACCCTTTCTCATGGACATGGCAAGCAACTGCTGTTGCTCCTCGTTCAGCTCTGCGGTGGGTAAAGAGAAGGAGACAGCAGGAGGGGCAAGGGCATACTCTCCCTCTGGTGGGCAGGGGATTGTAATGCAGCTCTGGGAGCTGGAACTAACACGTATGTGTGCATGTGTGTGTGTGGGAGGGGGCAGCAGATTCACTCTTAATACTCTGGGAGAGAATGAGAGAAGATTCCTTGAAAGATGTCTCCTCTTTCTTTTAGGAAAAATAGATGTGGAAGAGGTGGGCTTGCCCCTCTTGCCTTTTCCTTGGAGGAGGGGACGACGGGGTTTGGACGCTGATTCACTCTGCCTGTAGCTTGGTATGAGAGCCAGCTTCACGGGCCTGCAACCTGTCAAGTTGCACATGGCCCCATGCTTGGTTTAATGTTGAATAATTCTTAGTACTTTTTAAACAAGGAGCCCTGTATTTTCATCTGGCGCTGGGAACCCGTAGATTATGTTGCAGGTCCTGCTTGTTACCATTGGGCCTAACCCATTAGTCCCATCAGGGACCGACCCCATGCCCACTCCTCACCCCACCACGGAGAGCCCCCGGCAGGTAGCGGACGTATCCAGCCAGTACGAGATTGAGTTTCCTGGAACTCCCGCAGCCATTGGAGGACTGAGTCCCCGGCCGCACCCCTCGGACTCCATGAACCACTAGATCTAGGGCCTAACCCACTTGGCAGAGAGATGAGGAGTGATCAGCTAGCTACTCCTGCAGTTAGAGAAAAGGGGCTCCCTGGCAGAGGGGGAGCAGGTCTCCCCGTTCGGAGTGGGGACTCCCTTAGGGAAGAGGTCCAGTCTCTCCCTGAGCCTAAAGAAGACTCCTTGGAGCGGACTAGGAGGTCGGCCACGCCCCATCCAGCCACACCCGCCCCAGCCCCGCCCCCAGCCGTCTTAAGCCCCGCCCCTAGCTCCCTTAGTCCTGTCATCACCACCCGCGCCCCGCCTCCAGCGCTCACTGTCTGTCCCCCATCACTTTAGCCCCGCCCCCGACCTCCCCAAGTTCACCCCATGCAATCCCGGTCTGTCCCGCAGCCGCCTAAGTCCCTCCTCTGGCCTCCACAGCCCTAAGGTCAACCGGACAGCCTTCTCCTGAACTCTCATCACTCCGCCAGGGCCCCGCCCCCACTGTGTCCTCCAGCCCCGCAGCGTCCAGTCCTTTCCTTAGAGGTGCACCATTCCCAGGTCAGGCCCTTCAGCGCCAGCAGCTCCTCCACCTCAGCCTGCAGCGCCAGACACTTCATGTGCTCCCGGGGGGTGGGGGCCGGCTCAGGACAGGACAGTGGTGACCAGGACCCTCCTCACTCCACCGGCTCGACGTGACTGCACCCAGTGAGCCCCGCACAGAGACCCCTTCTGGGGCTTGGGGTCCTGTGCCCTCCCTCACGTACCCCTCCCCAGGGGATCGAGTCTGCAACCCAGGCGTATGCCCTTGACCAGAATCGAACCCAGGACCCTGCAGTCCGCAAGCCGACGCCCTATCTGCTGCACCAAACTGGCCAAGGCTGCAATGCTTTTTGTAAATACTTTTAATAACGTCCCTGCCTGCTGTCAGGTTGTGGTTTCTCACTGCTGTTATTCTGACTGTCTTTAATCTACTTTTTGCTGCTTCAGATGTATTGCTTCTAACTTGCTGTAGGCAGGAAACCATAGTTTCAAAGTTATTAGAACTCTATGTAAAGTAAGATTTTTAAAAATTGGTAAAATAAATAGGTTCTGAGTAAGTGTTCCTGTGAACAAAGTACATGGGCCTTAGTCGGTGTTTGCTTCAGACGACCTTTCTGGGCTCAGGTGGCCCCTGTGCACAGCTTGTCACCCTGGCTGTCATCCCTGATGCACTCACCTGCAGGTCCCCGAGGATGGGCACCATGACTTTCTCATCTTTGTGTCTGCAGTGTCTGACACATAGTAGGAACTCATTGTTTTTCGAAGGAATGAGTGGACCTGTGGCGGCGGCTCTTTTGGCAGCGTGGACGCCTTGCTCTGCTTTGTTTGCTGCAGTCCTGACTGGGGGCAACGCTCCTCCTAGGCAGGAGAGAGTCCCAGGGAGACGAAGTAAACCCGTTTCTAGTTGGAACTCCCCGTAGTCTAACGGGGAGGCACTGTCCCTCCCCGTGGGATAAGCTGCCCGAGTTGCTGCCGGTTTTGATGCTGACATCCCTCACGCTGTAGGAGAGCTCAGCGCTGCACCCGAAATGTCTGCGTGTTGAACCCAAGGCAGGAAGGGTGGAGCAGCCAGGTGGGGAGGCTGAGCTGCCTCCTCAGCTCCCTGGTACTCGGTTTGCTCTCTGTTCACTTCCTCTTGTGGAGAACGACTTTGTAGGTGCTTTAGTCTCTGTGTCTGGGGTATGTCTGGGTCTCATTAGGTTCAAAGCTCCAAAGAGAAAGAAAGCTGTTTACTCCATTAGCGTGGGAGTTCCCTGAGAGTTAGTTCAGGTCGCTGCCACTCCGACTTAGGGGCTGGGCTCCCTGAGGGCAGTGTCTGCTGCTTTTTCCACTACTTCATAGGGCAGGAAGACGCTGGTGGTAGAAGGGCTGACTGAGGGACTTCTTTCTTTTTTCAAAAATATTTTTTTTTTATTGATTTCACAGAGAGAGAGAGGGGGAGAGAGGGAGAGGTAGAAACATCAATGATGAGAGAGAATCATTGATCACCTGCCTCCTGCACACCCCCTCCTGGGGATCAAGCCCACGACCCAGGCATGTGCCCTTGCACGGAACCGAACCCAGGACCCTTCAGCCCATAGGCCGATGCTCTATTCACTGAACCAAACCAGCTAGGGCGAGGGACTTCTTTCTTCCCACCTTTACACACAGTCTGCTGGCTCCAGGATGCCGCGTGGGGAAGACAAGCCGGGGTCTGCCTCAGGCCTCCCGGGTTCTTGCTCAGAGCTGGGCCAGGCTTGTGGCTGGGCTCTCTTGGCACCTGACAGCTTGCCCAGTGGGCAAGTACAACCCGCAGGTCAGGGCACTGAGGAAAGGGCTTAGGGGTTCAGTGACTGTTGTTCCAGGTGGGTGCATCTCTGAGTCTGTGAAGGCCTTGCTCTGTCCAGTCTCCTGTGATGGGCTGAGTTGGAGCTGCAGCCTCTGAAGCCCCCCTCCCACCAAGTTCTGACTCAGGGACCCCAACTGGCTGGGATGAAGGGGTCTTTCCCTGGGGTGGGAGCCAATGAAGCATCTCTCCTGCCACCTCCCCAAGTTCCTACTTGCTCTCCCTCCTGCTTTCCTCCCGTCCTTGCTCCACAGAGGGGAAGGAATTTGAGCCAGAGGGGACCCAAGCGGGTAACTGGTGGGATGTTTATTACCCAGTGCCCCTGTCCCATCCTGAGCTCACCGCTGAGATTTGGGGATAAGTGTCAGGGTGGGGGAACTAACGCTCTGCAGACCTTAAAGGTTTGGTCTCTGCTGCTCAGGATGACAGGGAGTCTAGTGAGCCTCTAGGAATGGGCACCAATGGTAGAGGCACAGGGCCCCACCTGTTCCCCACCCTTCCACCTCCACAGATCTATGCAGTCTGTTTCCCAGAACCCAGCGAGACACGGTCCAGCCTGATTCCAGGAGGGGGTGGGTGAGCCGAGTGGGGCAGACTCTGTGAGTGGCCGGGGAGGGACTGATGGAGGGTTTGATAGGGAGGGGCCAGGATTCCAAGGCCCAGGCCAGGGTGTGGCTGGGGTGGACGGTCAAGGCTGCAGCCTGAACCTCCCCACACCCTATTCCTTCCCCCACCCCTGAAGTGGGGAGGCCCGTGTCTCCTGAGAAAAGAGGATGGGTGGGGTGCCCCAGGTTTTCCTGACACGAATCAAATTGAGGCTTCCTGGGTGATAGCAGAGCTCAGCCTTGGGTTGGTGGGAGGAGCCTCAGGGGTGGAGAGAGGAGGAGTGGCGAGGGGGGCTGCAAAGGAGACAAGGGGTTCAGGATGGGTCAGAGGGACCAGGGGAGGGGATGGATTTCTCCTTGAGTGGCCACCCAGTCTGCCCCAGGCTCTGCCCCAAGCTGGGGGACCCTGGTTCAGTGGGTCTTATCTTCAGTTTCTACTGGGGCTCCTACAAGCTTTCCCAAAGCAGCTGTTTCCTCCTTGGAGGCCACGTGGGCAGATCACTCTGCACGGGGGCAAGGGACAGGGTGTGCTGATCCCGTTGGGCCCCTTGCGAAGCCTGTTGGGTGATAGGATCTCATACAGCCCCCTGCTTCAGCCAACTTGGTCTTCACCCTCTTCCCTCCCCACCAGGAATTCTTTCACTAACTTTGAGCACATCTGGTTTCTCCTGCCCCCTGCTCAGACTCCCGCTGAGAGAAAAGATTGCAAGAGGGAAATAGCTTCCTCTCCCTTTGCTTCCTATGCCCCCTCCAGCAAGCTGGAGACTGCTAGCCGATGACCGATGTCCACACATTGCCCTCTTCCCGTCCTCCCTCCAGGCCCCTCCATTCCCCATCCTTCCCGTTTGTCATCATTAATTCATAGGCCCTGGCATTTCTAGCAGAGAGACTCTAGTGCCAGGAGCTGAGTGTCTAGTGCCAGGTAGGAAGGGAGAAAGGAGTTGGCATCCAACCCAGCAGGAGCACCCACCACCTAAGGGGTGATAGCGGTGATGGTGAAGCTCTCAACACCTCCCCCCTCCTCAATGCTAGGCCATAATGTTCCAGGAAATGAACAATAAGAAAAAGACCACGGGCATTAATAAAAGTGACTTTATTGAGTTGTCTTGGGGTGATGTTCTGGGTGTGGGAAACCTTCCAATCCTCCCCACCCTGCCCCCAGCTCTCCAGTGAGGGACCCATCCCCAGCTCAGGCATAGAGGAGACCACTACACCCCCAAGGGAAAGAGTTCAGGAAACCCTTCAATATATGAAGGAGAGAGCAGAAAGATGGGGAGTCTCTGGAAAAGGAAGCAGGGGGCCCTAAGCCAGGGGCTCCCCCAAAGAGGACCTAGGGAGAGGAGCCTGGGGCCAAGAGAGAGGCAGAAGTGAGGGGGGAGCTTCTCAGTAGAGGTGAGAGAGAGGAGGAGCCCACGGGGTCCTTCTCAATCTGACTGCACCCCAACTTTCTGGCCTCACCTCCAGCTTGGTCCCTCCATCTCCTTGCCCTCCTTTGCAATCTCTATTTCAGCTCCAAGGTAGGTCTTGGTGCTGCCCAGACATTCCACGTTGTTTTACATCTTCTTTGCCTCTGTCCACCCCCTCTCAGAAGGGTCCTCCCTCTTCTGCCCAAAGCCCTTAGCTTTCTGGAAGCGTCAGTTCAGACCTTCAGACAGTGAAGCCTTTGAGATCAGCTCATCAGGCAGAGGCTCCCTCCTCCGTGCGCACACAGCTGTCTGCCCCTACCTCCGAGTGGGCACACATGCCACCTACATTCTCTGTTCTGTTTCCCCCCCCCCTCCCCGCCCCCGCCAACGGTGCACTCGGGAGCTTTGAGTCTTGCACAATCTGGGCTCAGAGTCGGCACCCAAAACTCCAGGCACCAATAATGGTGTTGGCTGAAAAAGAGCAATGAGGCGTGTATGAGAGACAGAGGAGGGAGGGGGTGGAATTTGGGGGATGGGATGGCGCTGCAGAGGAGGCACAGGGGTCAGAGGACAAGAGAGAGCCCAGGGGAAAGAGCGTGGGGTGAGGGCCAGAGGAGTGGACCTGGTCCTCAGACCATTGTGCTGAGGGTGGAGGAGTCCTCCGAGCGCACCGGCAGCACGGGGGCCCTCTTGAGGGGACGTCGGGTCTCGTCCCGATTCTGCCACACATAGTGGGCCAGGTAAGCCACCACCAGCGCCAGCCAGCCCCCCATGGTGACCAGCAGGGCCACATCGGTGCTCCGCCGGGCCCCGCCCCGCCCCGGCCCACACAGCTCTTCCTCCCCTGCCAGCAGCAGGAACTCCTGCCCCACCAGGTCTGGTCGGGCTCCAGGGCCACACACGATGCCTGTCCCAGTGCCCGGCGCCAGCCTCACCTGTCTGAGAACCTCCTGGAGGGCACAGTCGCAGCGCCACGGGTTGGCAGACAGGTTCACTTGGATCTGCAGCCCCACAAAGGCCTCCGCGGGCACTGAAGCCAGCTGGTTGGCAGAGAGGTCGAGGTGCCGCAGCGTGCCCAGGCCTTGGAAAGCAGCCCCTGAGAGGTGGGCAAGGACGTTATGGGACAGATCCAGCTCCTCCAGAACAGGCAGGTGCTGGAAGGCACCAGCTGGCACCGATGCTAGCCGGTTGGCATCCAGGTAGAGCTTGCGGGTGTCGTTGGGAATGCCAGTGGGCACGGCAGTCAGGCCTGCCTGGCTGCAGCGGAATGTCCGCTCACCAGCTTCCTCTGCCATGTAGCAGCCCTGGGGAGGTCCCTGGGGGCTGGGCATGGTACCCCCTGTGCCCATCACCAGCAACAGGGACAGGAGGTGACTGGCTGGTGCGAGCATGGCCGCCGATTGGCATAGTCCTGGAACGGAGTAGGATCTGGGGAAGAGAAAGTCCCGTAAAGGAAAGTGAGTCAAGGGAATTCCATTTCCCACGGCCAGCTCTCTTCCTGGGGCCCCCTGTGGAGTCTCTTTGAACTGGGGGCCTTCCTTTGGGGGATCTCGCAGGCCTGGCGACGTTTTGCTTTCTCTTTGGGGTTTAGGGCTCCTCATTCAGGCCCTTTGGGTAGGAAATCCCCTGGGCCTGAGACTCTTCTAGAGTCTCTTTGGTTCTGGAGGGCTAATCTATGAAGTCTCTTGGGCCAAGGCCCTGTTGTCATTCTGGGTCTGGGGGCTTCTAAGTTTCTGCTTCTGCCCATTTGTGGATTTTCCTCAGTGGAATAAAGTCTTTTTCCACCAATTTACCTGGGTGGCTGCCAGGCGGGCCAGGTAGGCACCAGAAGGCCAGTTGGCACTAGAGCGAAGGATACAAATAGGACAGGTCAGTAATAGGACTTCAGGGCACCCACCTAGGCGAGGTGACCAAGGGCCCACCTCAGTGCCCATCTACCCTTTTTCCTGGAGCATCCACCCCTCTGACTGCTCCAGCTTTGTCTCCTCTACCCCACCCCTTTCTGCCCTGTCCCCTCTCTCCTCTAAGCCTCTCACCTCTGTTGGGGGGAGAGCCTTCTCCTGGGCTGCCCCCCTCCCGGAAGTAGCCTCCCTGCTGCTCCGCTCTGGAGACCCGCTTCCTTCTCCAGAAGTCCTGCTTGCTCATCGCTGCTGGAAGTTGGGGGCTGGGACCCAAGCGTATTGGGTTTCCTGGCATGTGACTCCGGGCCCCAGGTATCAGATACCTGAGCCATGGCCTGGCTAGACGATGCCAAGAGAGGGCAGATCCTGGACCCTGATGAACTCTGCCTGGGGAGACCAGGCGCCATTTCCATTCCCTGCCTCGGGCTCCCCTCCCAAGGCCTGCTGCTGTCATCTTCCATCCCTCCTCTCTCAGCCGGGGAGGAGACCCTTCCGTTGCCCAGAGCCTGTCCGGATCCTTGCTTGACAGACCTGTGGGCAGAACTGGGTGGGCTCAATCTCACATCCATTGCCTCCAGCTCCCCCCAAATCCATCCCTCCCCCCACTCTCCGTCTCTGCCCTGCTACTGCACCCTGTAGCAAACTTGTCTCAGCCTTTTCCTTGGAAAACTTGTCTCACCCTGGAGGACTTCATTTTCTGCTCCTCACAGGGTGCCCAGCCCTCTTACCTGGCAAGGAGCACCGTGGTTCGATTTTAGTTTGTTCTCTGCACTGTGGGCAGATGGCCCCTCTGGGAGTTGGAAGGGGTTCTTCAAGGTGCCTGATGTCAGATACGGTTGTCTACAAGTTTTCCTGCTGATTTTATGTTCTGGGTTGGAGCTGACTCCGGTCCCCTCACTTTGCTGTGACACTAGGTTCCAAAGTTGGTACTTTTAACTCTCTGTCATGCCCACGAGCCAAGGAGGGCTGGGACAGTATTCCCCAGGGCCTCTTGATCCCACCCATCATTTGCAGCCCAAGCCACCACGTTATACCACCGTCTCCTGATGCTCACTGGGTAGTGGAAGAGTGGGCTGTCATAGACATTGGCACAGAAGAGGCTGCGGTCATATGCTGTGGAGAACTCCCTGAGAAGGAAAACCTTGCTGGATTTTGTAAGAGACTATGGGTGACCAGGATCGGACACAACGCAGGACCCAGTGCAAAACGAAAATGTGGGGCCCCGTTCAGAGTCTGTTCCATATGTCACAATAGCAACAGCAGATGGCAAAACCAAGCACAGGGCCCTTCTGAGCACAAGGTGTGGCGCCCTGGGCAGCTGCACAGGTCACATGCCCACAAAGCTGGCCCCGTGTAGGTGCCCTTTGACCAAGCCATTCAGAAGCGTAACAGGGGACAGAATCAGATGGAAGGGTACCGGATGATGTCATCTCTGGGGATGTACTGAGCACTGACTCATTCTTGTGACATCGACAGGGCACTTCTCACACATTTGTCCAAGGAATCAGGTAAGATGCGTTTTCCTACGCTTGGGCAGGAGAAGCGAAACCTTTGTCTGTGGGCTGCTTGTCAGTTGGCCCAGGCGCTGTGCCATTGAATAAATACTTCAGTGTCCATTTCGGAATTCTGGCTGCATGTGGGAGAGAAAGCGGGTGGGACACTACCCCTCCCACGGCTCTTCCCTCACACTGGGCAGGGCAGTTAGCTCCGGCACAAGAGTTGAGTCTGGCTGCTGATGGAGAGAGCTGTCTCCTTTTCAGACTAAGGCGGCTGCCAGGAAAGGTTGGGACTGGGGTGCCCAGCACAGCAGCTGTAGGGGCAGCGGTCTGTGCACACAGGAGAGGCCATCGGAGCATGGATGTGGTTCACGGAGGGCGGCGAAGTGCCGTGCTCGGTGTGAAGGGGAGACCTGAGAGGAAGGAGGAGCCACACCTATGATAGTACACAAGGGGTGACAAGGTTGGAAGAGAAATTCTTCTCTGCCTTTCATTCAGTGAGGATTTCCTGTGAGCCCCATGTTTCAAGCGCTGTGCTTGTCGAAGGATATGCAGACGCTGTTCTTAAGGTCCCAGATCTGTAGCTGTGGTTAACCCAGCCTGCACATTAGGATCCCTAGGGAGGGAGCTTTCAAAAATGAGTTCTGCCTGGGCTTCACGTGGACCCATTAAATTAAAGTTTCTGTGAAGGGGGCCTAGGCACTGGTATTTTTCAAAAGCTCCCTGGGTATCTCTAATGTGCAGCCTGAGATGAGAATTGCTGGTCTAAGGAAGACATGGACATGTGGACACTTGTCTCCACAAAAGCCTTCCTGTGATGGCTGCGGAACTGACGTGTGTGCGGAAGCTCTGAAGCTCAGAGAGAATAAATCTCTGTGGCAGAATCTGCTGGCTCTCCACTTGGTATTGTAGGGGAGGCAACACTCTACCTCTGCCCTCTTAGGGCTTTTCAGCCAGGCCTGAGACTTCACCTGACCTGAGACAGATTGACAGGTGAAAAGCATGCACATTTACATACGTTGTCCATGACATGAGAGCCCTCGTAAGACAGTGAAATCCCAAAGAAGTGGAAAAACATAAATACTTTTGTCCCACGTTGGATACAGAGAGGCAATTGTAGAAAAGTAACTAAAACAGACGAGGCTGGAGGAAGATTAGAGTTATTTTAACAAGGTCTGTTTGTGCAGAGTTCTCTGGGCTTTGACTCCCCTTTGCAGAATGTGTCCTTTCTCCCAGTACAGGGAGAGTGTCTCTCACATGGCAGTTTCTGTCTCCTGTTTTCTGGAAGAAAATAGGAGATAGGAATGCCCTTCTGGTGTCTGTTTTTTTTTTATGTGCCTTTAGCTCAAAATAATCCTTATGCCTAAGTGGCATATTTTGGGGTGGCCTATTCTGTCACCCTTCAGTACCCATTCCTTACCTCCTCCTTTGATGACATGTACTGATTTTTGGGTAGCAATGTACTCAGTCTGTCATGAGAGAGCCTGGTTGGTCCTTTCAGTTTATTAGAAATCCTGTTGCCCACTTTCCCCAGTCACCATTGCAGCTGGGGAGGCCCAATTCTGATCAATAATATCTAAGTGGAAGCCTGCTCAAGAGGTGTCTGAGACTGTCTTCGATTCACTCATAAGAGAGGATGGGCTGGCCTGGCTGGTGTGGCTCAGTGGTTGAGTGTCGACCTATGATCGATTCAGGTCAAGGGCATGTACCTTGGTTGCGGGCACATCCCCAGTAGGGGGTATGCAAGAGGCAGCTGATTGATGTTTCTCTCTCATCAATGTTTCTAACTCTCTATCCCTCTCCCTTCCTCTCTGTAAAAGATCAATAAAATATATATATATAAAAAAAAGAGGATGGGCTGGCCTGGCTGGTGTGGCTCAGTGGTTGAGTGTCAACCTATGAACCAGGAGGTCACAGTTCAATTCCTTGGTCAGGGCACATGCCTGGGTTGCCGGCTTGGTCCCCAGTAGAGGGTGTGTAGGAAGCAGCCAATCAGTGATTCTCTCTTATTATTGATGTTTCTTTCTATCTCTCTCTCCCTCTCCCTTCCTCTCTGAAATAAATAAAAATATATATTATTTTTTTTAAAAAAGAGCATGGGCTGAGCCCTCCCCTTCTCCCTACAGCTTTCTCCCTGCTTTGGACACGCAGGGTCAGCTATGGCCATCTGTGACCGTGGGGCAATAAAACAGAAAGGAAAGGTCAGGAGCATCATGGAGATACTGGCCTGGATATCACTGAACCACTCTACCCCTGGACTCATTAAAAGTAATCCCCTGCTTCAGTGCTTCTAAACTTGGCTGCACATTAGGGTATGTGAGGTTTTGAAAAACACTGATGTAGGGGTCCACCACAGAGATTCTGATGAAATTAATCTTTTTATTTTTTATTTTTTTTATTTTTTATTTTATTTTTCGCTTAAAGTATTACAAAGGGTATTACATAAGTGTCCTTTTTTTCCCCCCCGCCCTTGACAAACCCCTACCCTCCCTTACCCCCCAGTGTCTTATGTCCATTAGTTATGCTTATATGCATGTATACAAGTCCTTCGGTTGATCTCTTACTCCCCTCCCTCCTGCCCCCCAACTCTCTCTGGCCTTCCCACTGCAGTTTGGCAATCAGTTTGAGGCAGGTCTGCCTCTGTATCTATTATTGTTCAAAAGTTTGTAATGGTCTTTATTATCCATGAATGAGTGAGATCATGTGGTATTTTGATGAAATTAATCTTGCGTGCTTCTGGGGGTGGGCTTTTAAACCTCGCTAGGTGACGAATGGCACTCGGGTCAGACTCATCCCTTTGCTTGGCATTTGCTGTGCTTTCAGATGACATCGTTCTTATCTGATACGACTGACTTTTCCAGGCTAACAGGGAAGGCTCCACCAGGAGTGACATTTGAGTTGGGTGGTTCAGGTCGAGTTCATCAGCTGGAACATGTGCAAGAGCGAGGGAGCATGAGAAGGCCTGTCTTCTAGATTGTAGAGGGAGCGGTGGGCGTGGTAAAGGCTATGGTTAAACTGGAAATGGACCAGGTCCTTGTGGCCTTGTAGACCATGTAAGAATTGGAACTTGGTTTAGGAGCTGATGGGTGGGTTTTAAAATTAGGTTTGATATTTGGGTCACTTTGCTGGCTGTGTGGAGAATGTGTGTGTGTGTGTGTGTGTGTGTGTGTATAAAATAATTTAAAAATATTTTTATTGATTTCAGAGAGAAAGGGAGATAGAAACATTAATGATGAGAATCATTGATTGGCTGAGTTATCAATACATTCCCCACACAGCCTGACTGGCATGGCTCAGTGGTTGAATGTTGACCTATGAACCAGGAGTCACGGTTTGATTCCTGGTCAGGGCACATACCTGGGTTGTGGGCTCCATCCCCAGTGGGGGTTATGCAGGAGGCAGCCGGTCAATGATTCTCTCTCATTGATGTTTCTCTCTCTCTCTCTCTCTCTCTCTCAAATCAATAAAAATATATTTAACAAAAAAATCCCAACACCAAAGTGCCCTATACCCGAACTGAGAATGTATTGATAGAAGAAAGACCAGTTATTACAACAGTCCTGGAGGGAGATGCAAGTGCCTGCGTGGAAGCCATGGTGTGGGACTGAAGGAGCCATGAACTGGGTGTTCCATTCTTTGCCACGACCTGTGGGGTGCATAGGAAATGCAACTGTGAGTAAGACATGGAGCAAGCACCCTCTCAAGGGAAGTGGATGCCGAATAGATGACTTAAATATAGCACCCTCAGGGCAGGAGAGAAGTCTTTACAAGGCACCTACGGAAACAAGGAATGACCTTTTGGAAGAAATGCCACTTCCCAGCTGTGTGACCCTGGGCAAAATATTTCAACTCTCTGTGCTGCAATTTTCTCATTTGTAAAGTGGGGATAGTAAAAATACCTACGTCACAGGGCTGATTTAAAGGTTGCACATGCAAAGCCTTTTGGGCCGTACCTGGAACACAGCAAGTGCTAGTGACATGAGCTGCGATGGCTACGGGAAGGAGCTGGCGTCGGGCAGGGGCAGAAGGGCCGGGTAGTAATGCCATTGGAAGGGCACCAGGGGAATCTTTTCTGAAAGCTCCTGTTTTCATAGGCATTGCCCTTCTGCTCGGTGCTATTAAGTTTTCTAAACTGTTTTTGCCCCTAAAGGAGAAAATATCAATTACCCACATCCAAGAAAATGCAGATTGAAGGGGTCATTAGGAACAGCCCTGCTCTTGGTTCCAGAGGGAGGTTCTGGTTCCCAGGCCTTGGCTCTGGCCCTGGAGGCCCTGTCTGGCTCAGCCCCTTTCCTCTGCAGCCCAAAATAGCCACCCACAGGGCTGGGCGAAGGGAGGAGACGGAGTGCCCACTGGCAATGGAACCATCCCTGCACCTCCCCCATTTCCCACCAGCTCGGTAGCTCTCACTCAGTGCTTATCTGCCCCCTCTGCCCCTCTGCCACCACGTGACTGGGGTGCCCCCACCCAAACAAAAACACAACTGCCAACAAAATAAAGTTTTTTTCTTCCCTGCATTTGCAAGGAAGGCAGGGGGCGGAGGGGGAGCAGAAATGAATTGAAGGGGAGTAGGGGTAGTAAGAGTGGAGGGGTACCATTCCTTCCCCCAGAGGTGTGTGTGGGGGAAAGAGCTCTGTTTCTTACACCCACCTCCTCACTTCCCACCACTGCCATCACCCTGGAATGTGTTCCCAGTTTATCTCCCGCCCATGTTTGCTATCTCTGCCCACATGGGTGTATCTATGGCAAGCAGAGGCCATGCCACCCCGCCAGATGGAAACACCCCAAGGCTGGGAAGTGCAGCTGCCTCAGCGGTCTAAGGCCCTTGCAGAGGACAAGGGGAGCCCGTGAAGGCAGCTCGCTCTGTTTTCAAAACACAAATACATTTCATAAAAAATTTAAAGCAGACAATCTCACATTACACAAAGTTTGAAACTAGAGAATGAAAAAGATCGCCCCAAATCTCTCCATCCTAACACAAGAGCTGTGTTTATTTTGTTGAATTTCCACAGGCCAGTAAAGCAGATGCTCAAATATCATTTAAATGTGGAATGGGTTAATACGAGGCAACACATACAGAGCACTTACTGTGCGCCAGGAATTGTTCTGGGTGCTTACATTCGTTGACCCATTTCATCTTCACAACAACATGAGGGTGACAATATCATGATTGTCACCATCTCCGTTTGGAAATGAGGTAACTGAAGCACAGAGAGGCTCGGTGACCTGCCTAAGGGCACACAGCTGGTAACTACAGGAGCTGGAAGTTGAACTCAGGCAGTCCGGTGCCAGGATCTCACCAAACACTTTATTTTTCAAAATCACAGTTGTTAATGCGTGTGCAGGCTTACTAAGACTTCTTACGGTCAATTTCAAACATAAAAAAGTAGGTAAAATGATATAAGCAATCTCATATCCCCATCATCCAGTTTGTATCAGAATCACCTCATGGCCCATCTTGTTTCTTTTATTCCTCCACATCCCTAGCCCAGAGTATTTTGAAGCAATTTCAGTCATCATATCATTTCATCCACATATATTTTATATATATCTCCAGAGGATAAGGGGAATTTTTTATTTAAAAAATTACCACAATACCATATCATGCCCATGGACACAGACAATAGTATGGTGAAGGCCTGCGGTGGGGGCTGGGTGGAGGGGGGCAAAAGGGGGAAAAATGGGAGACATCTATAATACTGTCAACAGTAAATTTAAAAATTTTTAATTCCTTAATATCAATTTGAATAGTCAGTGTTCAAATTTCCTTGACAATTTAATATTTTTTAAAATAATGTTAGTTTGCTTAAATCAGGATCCAAATATATTGCTTACTTTATTTTTATCTAAGTCTCTCCCTCTCCTTTTTTTCTTCCAACTTATTTGTTAAGGGAATTGGGTGTTTTCCCAAGTCTTTCTTTTTCTAGATTTTGCTGACTACAGCCCTGGGGAATGCTCATGCTATTTTTTCCCCAATCTTTTCATATAACCTAGCATTTTCCCACACTGCCGCATCGTTTTCACAACCACTTACTATATGGCTTCATACTATTCCATCCAATAGATATACTATAGTATTTTTCTTGGGCATGTAGGTTGCTTTTGGTTTTCCACTATTATACATAATGCTGGAGGGGGTAGTTCAGTTGGTTAGAGCATTGTCTGGATATGCCAAGGTTGCGGGTTCGATCCCTAGTCAGAGCACATACAAGAATCAACCAATGAATGTATAAATAAGTGGGACAACAAATTGATCTCTCTCTCTCTCCCCCTCTCTCTCTTCCTTCCTCTTTTTCTCTAAAAATCAATCAATAAAATAAATAATGCTGGAATGAACCTCCTCACATATAGTAAGTACATGGGATGCTACCAGAAGTGCAATTACGATTCTGAGGCCTGAACGATTTTTCAGCCTCTTGGCCCATATCACCAATTGTCTGTCCAAGGGGTTGTGCATTCCCAAGCACCACATAAGAGTGCTGTCACTCATCCTGAACAGTACTTAGGCCTATTCATCGCTCAAGGATGTTTGGGGAAGACATGGTAATTATGAGGGCAGAGAACTACAGAAGGAGAAGGATGATGACAGGGACTCAGGCTACATTAAGCAGAAAGTGATACACAATTTACCACAAACCTAGAGTGAGTCAGAGCTCTATTTATTTCTATTGTGAAAAAAAACCTTGATAATAGGAGTTATTAATAGGGCATGGCACGTCCAGTTATCTTTCCGTTAGACTATGCATTAGTCAGAACCTTATTTGAGATATGGGTCCAGGCTAGGTCAGTGAACTTCACTGAGAAAGACCCAGACAGCTCCATCAACTTGATGGAGGTTGGAAGAACCCCAGAGAGAAGTCAAAGTACTCAAGTAGGCTCCACTTTGGGGAAAAAAATTATATATATATATATATATATATATATATATATATATATATATATATATATATATATATATCTCCTCAATGTTTTGGAGGTTTCTGTGGGAAAGGCAACGCTCAGTTGTTTGCTTATGTCTTCAGAAGGCTGACTATAAGGAAAGGGGCCTCCATGAACCAGGAGAAACTTCTGTAGGACACAAGGAAGAACTTTTTCAGTCTCGGGGGTGATTATTTAGCCTTGGGAGGAGTGCTCTTGGGCCACTGGCCCTGGAAATACTTGAGAAGCTGCCTGTTCTCCTGCTCCGAGTGACTCAGCTAGCCACCTGCTCAGTGCCCACTAGGTGCTCCCGGGGCCCCACTCCAGGTTCGTGACATCTGTTTCCTGGCAGCCCTCTGGAGAGGGGTGGGTGAGGTCTGAAAGGACTACTCCCCAGACTGCCCGGGCCAGCCTTCTCCTTCTGTCCCCTCACATTCACCTCAGTGTGTGTTCATAGCCAGTCAGGCTGGCATGTCATGACGTCATCTGATCCTGCTAGTCCAGCCTGCCATGCACAGTGGACTTAGAAAGAAGCTGGGCAGGGCTAGTGGAAATGACTCAAACAAGGCCCTCTTGGTGACTCAGGAGACCTCAAGAGCCATTTAGTCCAACCTCCTACAGAAATAGCTTTCTACAATGCAACAGATGCTTTGCATACATTCTTTTGAATTTGCACAACCTGGGAGGGAGGGTTTCACAAGTGTGGAGTTAGAGACTGAGACAAGTTATTTGCTAGAAAGGGGTGCCTGGTAAGTCTACATGGCAGTAAAAGCTGCGCCCTTGCAAGCAGATGTGAACACCGCAGGCCAGAGGTGGAGCCTCCCACCCAAAGCCACATGTGCCAACCTGGGACTGGAATTAAGGGCCCTAACTATTCTTCAAGGAATCTTCCCAGGACAGGCATCCTCTTCTGACGTGTAATGTGGGAGGTCAAGGATGTGGCCTGGCCTGAGCCACCTGTAACTGAGGAGCCAGGCTCTGGACAAATGCTGCCCACAGGCCGCGTTCTCTGCTCTCCAAACTCTCATTCTAAGCCCGCTTCCAGGAAGGCCGAGCAGGACAAAGGGCTGGGCTAGTCCGAGTCTGGAGGAGCCACTCAGGGGCCAGGGTGGAGGCAGCGAGGTGTGATTGAAAAAACTCTGACCTGAGATCAAATTCTGGGCTCTGGTCCGGGTTGGGACCCAGCAGGGACCTAGGGCAAGTCACTTAAAACTCCGAGTTTCCTCATCTGCAAAATGGGGGATGTGTAAACTGCACTTGAAGCGGGCGCGGACGCAAAAGCAGTTGTTATGCCCCAAAGCAATACCATCTCATCTTTGTATCACGTCTTATGGAAACGTCCGAGGGGCCCAGCGGGGCCTCGCTTGGAAAAGGTGGGCGCCGGGAGGGGGACTACAAGTCCCAGGTGGCGTCGGGAGGGCCGGTACTAGGGCAGGGGAAGAAACTACAACTCCCAGGAGGCATCGGGCAGGTCGGCGCTGGGCGGTGACGCCGCGAGGGCCGGCGCGGGGCGCTGATTCGGCCGAAGGGCCAGCGGGGTGGCTACCGCCGCGGGTTGTTACTAAAGCAGCGGCCCCCGCCCCCGGGCACCTCTCGCGGGCCCTCGAGGGCCCTGGACCCCCGGCTCCGCACGGTGAGTCCGAATGGGCGGCCTGCGGGTGGCCGAACCGGGAGGCTCCTGGCGCTAGAGGTGGGGCGGGAAAGGAGGTGGGAGCTGCAGGGGAGGCGCCCCGAGCTGGAGGGGACCGGGGCCGGGTGAGCGGAGGTGGGGGCGTGCATCAGCCCTAGGGATACCCAAAGGCGAAAGTGGGGGCGGGGGCCGGGGCCGGGGGTGGGGCGTGGGGAGGAGCGCTCGAGCTCCGGCTCGGGGTGAGGGGCCCGGAGCGGCTGGGCTTCGGGGATGAAGGTTTGGCCGCTTCCAGGGCTGGGTGGACGCGTGGAGGTGGGGGTGAGGCTCCGGACCCGGCCAGGCGCCGAGTGCGAGGTCCCAGGCCGGGGAGCGGAGCGGGAGGTCCCCCGTTCGGTTTGAGGTCCCACTCAGAAAACCCAAACAATAGTGAGGACCCCGCCTCTGTGCTTCACCTTGTCCCCGGGAGAGTAGGGGTTCGCCCTAGTATTCGCCTTCTTTCCGTTTCCACCGCCCTCCGGAGTCCGTCCCGGAGCAGGGCCCGAGCTAAGAGGTAAGCCGCTGTGGGGAGGGGCGGCAGAATGAACATGGCATTGTGGCGTGCTGCCAGGGACTCCCCGTCGGGGTCCATTTGCAGGCTTAGACGTTTTGTGCTCCTCCCCCAGAAGGGAAAAGGTTCGTTGCTTAAAGGGCTGCCCTACTTGAGGGAGAGAATGGGAATGGCTCACCTGGCAGCTGCCCTGGGACGCGCTGTGGTCTTGGCTTAGGTGTTTGACAGACACGCCGGGCAGGCCTATTTGTGTGTGGAGTCAGGGGGAGGGGAGGGAAGTAGTCGGAAAGAAGCACCAGCAAGAAAGTAGTTAACAGAACAGAGTTGCTGGAGGCTCTGGTTTGAGGCAGGTTATGAAACCACTTCAGGGGCCGGCACAGGCGGCCACCTGCCAGCTCTGGCCTCGGAACTTTTCAGCCTCCGCTGCTGTAGACTTGCTTCACCTCTGCCAGCTTCTTCTCCCCGCATCTCTCCTTCTGGGCTGGGGGCAACTGGTTATTTTACAAACGGAAGTGAAATCTACCCTTAGTCACACACCAGGCTCAAGAGTGCTTCCTGGCTGCCAATCGCTGTCTTAGTTTATTGATCTGGGCTGTCTTTTTTGGAGGTTGTGGATCTCCTGGGATTCCTGCTCTCAGGGCACATAGTGTTCAGGTTCAGGAAGAAGCTTTCCAGAGTGTCCGTTAGGCCCTAAGTGCAGGCCCCTCCTAAACTCACCAGGCTTCATTGGATGCCCGGTTTCAGCCAGAGAGGCGTGTAGAATGACCTGGGATTCAGTAAGACTCTTGGCACTCCTCCTGGACAAAATACCAGAGAGGGCTGGGGGTCTCTACTTCTACACCTTGGAGGTCTAGGTGAGGGCGTAGTGGTAGACTTGGGAACTGTTTCTCTCTCCTTAGTCAGTGGTAAGCCCTTCAGAGCCCTCACTTCCTAGCCAGCCCCAATCTCTCTCTACCTACCCCCCAAGGTGGAGGCTTTTGCATAGTTGGTTCCCAGGAGCTGTGTTAGGGTAACTGAAGCCCCAAGCCCCTGGGAAGGTAAACAACTGAGCCAGTCCAGGTTTTCTAGTTCCCTGGGCTTCTGTTGGGCCCAATTAGCCAGCCTAATGCTGAGGTGATGGGCCCCAGGAGCATCCATCTTCTAGGATGCACCCTGGGTCATCTCACGTATGTTTGCATATTGGAGAAGTGTGTTGTGTGTCACATTTCCCCTGAGGTGTCTGAACTGTGAGCTGTCTGAGAGAGGAAACTTGTTCCCGTTATCCTGGAACTGAGGAACCGATCCTTGAGAATTCTGGCGACTATACAGGCTTGGCCGTGATCCAGTCAGAGATAGATTGCAACTGAGTCTGAGGGGGTTCGTTGCAGCAGGGTTAGGATGTGGCCTTCTGGGCACTTCTAGGAAGCCCCACCTGGGACCCCTTTCTGTGCCCCCAGGAAAGATGGGGCTGTAACCATGGTGATGACCTTAGGGTCTTTATCAGGCAGGACCTTCCCTCAGCTCAGGAGGTGAGCCAGTACAAAGGCACCATCTGTTCCCACCTCCTGCTGGTCACAGGGCCCTCAGGGATCTGGGGACAGCGGAGCTCTGGACAAGGGGCTGCTCATTCCCTTCCTTACCTGCATCTAGGAATGCAACCGAGTTGCATTGTTACCTGGACACCAAGGCAGTCCTCCTGGTTCCTCGTGCTGCATGCTTCTGCCATCAGAGCTGGGCAAGGAGAGGCCCGGTGCTGCTAACACCTGAATAGGTGCTGGGAACGGAAGCTGAAGTGAGGACGGGTGGGGTGAGAGGAGAGGGGGCAGGAGAGAGGCCGCAGGTATGGTTTTGTGACATTGGGAGGGGTATGTTGGTGTGGGTTCCAGCTGCTGTGGGGCTGGAGATGTTGGCTGTGTTCTCTGTCCTCGCCTCTCTGGTGGGGAAAAGGGCCCTGGTGGTTTGGCAGCAGAGGGGGTGGCATCACGAGGGTTAGCCTGAGTTGCTGCCAAATGGAGAAAACATCTGATTGGGTTGTTTTGTGTCACCAAGAAGGAGGCTTCCAGGTCTGGGCAAAGGTTGTCCCTAGTCTGTCGTTTTCTCCTTTTTTCTCTCCCACCCTCTTTTTATCCTGTCAGTCCTCCTGGGTCTGGATTGTAGACCCAGTACTGGAGAATTAGGGGAGATGGGTAGAAGCAGTGACCCCCCTCCCCCAAATATTTCATCCAGTGATCTCCTTGCAGGCCCTACCTCTTTTTATTCCATCTGATGAGGAAGGTGGGAAAGGGGTAGATGTCCCATATCAGCCCTCAGTGAGAGCCCAGCAGGGTTTATGCGGAATGATTCTTAGGGTACAGGCGTTGTGGGGAGAGGGCCCTGGTGAGAATGCTCTGGAGGATGAGACTGGGGGAGGGGCAGTGGTTTCTTTGCTCTGGGACTGGATGCTCCCTGACCTGTCCACCCAGGCAGTCTGCCTGGAAGGGGACTGTCCTGATGGATGTTGGATGGTGCTTATCCCAGCCCAGCATCTGGGAAATGTATAGAGTTAAGTCCACGTGGACTTTCTCTGGCCTCCTTGTTTATGAGTCAAAACAGTAGAACTGCCTGGAATTCTTGGGGAGAGCAGGATTTGGAGGGTGTGAGGGGGCAGAGAAAGTGGTGTGACCTGTCTCACCTGTGCTGCTTGTTTGCAGAGCAGCGGCAGGAGGGGGCAGCAGGATGAACGTGGGCACGGCACACAGCGAGGTGAACCCTAACACACGGGTGATGAACAGCCGCGGCATCTGGCTCTCCTACGTGCTGGCCATCGGCCTTCTCCACGTCGTGCTGCTCAGCATCCCCTTCGTGAGCGTCCCTGTCGTCTGGACCCTCACCAACCTCATCCACAACATGGTGAGGGCCTGCCTGCTGCCCACCCTGACCGTGTGAGCTGCTCTTTGGCGGGACTGAGGAGTAGAAGGAGCCCCCAGACCTGGGCCAGAAGTCAGGGTCACATCTGATAACATCTGTCACCACAGTCCAGACCAAGCTCTCATCTCTGACCCACTCCCCCGTCTGGTTCCAGCCCTGTGCACTCCAACAGGAGGACTAAAATCTGCAGATTTGTCCCATCTCCACGATGGAATAGCTTGTGGACCTGGAAGATGGGCCATCGAGAGCGGAACTACGGGTCCCAAATAGTCCCCGGGACCCAGGTGCCCAGCCTGGAGCAGAAATGCCCCTTTCCCAAATTAGGATCTCACACCATCTTGCCTCTTGCCTCTCTCTGCTCCCTCGCCACCTGCCCTGCTACCTTTTACTCTTTTCGTGGCGAGGCAGGGGCCTAGTTCCTTCCCATCAGCTTGTCCCCTTCCAGCTGGCGCAGGGAGCTACCCCCTTCCATGTGTCTCCTCATGTCAGGCCTGCCCTCTCACCCTTATTCTCCTGACAGACTCCCAGCTGCTTCATCCTGACTTCCAGCCCACGTGCCCCTGCCCACCAGAGGGGGGCTCGGGTCACCCAGAGCCCACTTCTGTGACTAGGGTGGAGGAGCTGAGCTGGAGGGCCTTTTGCCTTTTGTGTCCTCTAATGAAAGCCACTCCCTCCAGGGCATGTACATCTTTCTACACACGGTGAAGGGGACACCCTTCGAGACCCCGGACCAGGGCAAGGCAAGATTGCTAACCCACTGGGAGCAGATGGACTACGGGGTTCAGTTCACAGCGTCTCGGAAGTTCTTGACCATCACACCCATTGTGCTGTGAGTGCCCTGGGTAGAGGAGGGTGCTAGTAGGCAGGCCAAGGCCCTGGGGGTCCCTGGGGCCCCACCAGGTCTAAACCCCTCCCCAGTTTGACTCTTAGCATAGGAATGAGGAAGGTAAGTCACAGCATCCCTGGCCATATGCTGGGCTCAGGCCTTGTGCCTCCCTGGCCCTTTTTCCAATTGAGGTAGGCCCACAGGCCTGGGGTAAAGTGAGGGGACTGAGCTGGGAGGGGTGTCTTTATTTGGGGAGATCTTGCCATCTTACTTCTGTCCTGGGGGCCTTTCCCATAACATCTGAGCTGTCAGGAATGTGCCTCTCCCCACCAGGGAGTGAGGGAGGAAGGGGTCCTCCCAGCAAAGTCTTATCCTCTCCTTAACCTTTTCCACCAGGTACTTTCTCACCAGCTTCTATACCAAGTACGACCAGATCCATTTCATCCTCAACACTGTGTCTTTGATGAGCGTGCTCATCCCCAAGCTGCCCCAGCTCCATGGAGTCCGGATTTTTGGAATCAATAAGTACTGAGGACACAGCCTCTTTCCCTGTCCAGGTGGCAGGAGCGGAGTAGAGTCTGTGCGGTGTTGCTGAAGACAGAGGAGCCTCTGGATACGGCCAGAGATGGGGGTTGAGCCTCTGGGCCCTAATTTCCCCCCTCACTTCCCCCAGTAGCCGACTTGAAGTAGCTTGTAGCGGGGTTGGGGTGGGACCTCCCCCCCCACTTCTCATCCCCCAGACTCTGACCCTTCTGATTTTTAAAAAATCTTTTTCTTTTGCCTTTTGGATAGAGACTCCGAGGGGGTGGTCATGGCATGAGCTGGGCTCCAGGCTGAGCACAGACCTGTGAGCTTGGAACAAGAGGCCAGGGAAACCCCCTGCTCACTTGCTCATTCTCAGACCGCTGAAGCACTTTAACCCCCATGAGGGTACGGTACAGCTTCTAGATTGTTTCACTTTAGTTCTCAAGTTTTTAGGATGACTCGCAGTGTGTGCTTGTATTTATGAAAGCCAGTGGGTGATGGTGCCTAATCCCTCTGGTCGAGTGCGTCTAATCAAAGCCTCATGCTTCTGTCAGCTCCCCTGCAACCCACCCTGGGTAGTGGGTGGGAGTGGGGAGGGTAAGGAGAGGGATGGTGGGGCTGGGCACGGACAGCCTGGTCCCAGAGGTGAGGGGGCCAGGGCTGCTGCCATCCTGCCCTGGTGGAGGCGGGGAGGGGTAGGAGAAGGGGTGGGCATGCTGAGTTGAGATTCAGAAAAAGGGGGTCACATAGCAGCAGAGATTGGTGGGAGGGAAGGAGGGTGGGGACAGAAGCTAGACAACGTCATTTGGGAAGTGGTCAGAGGGGGGCAAGCTCGGAGAGTCAATGTACCCAGGGCATGAGGGTGGTAGTAGGAAGGGAGACTGCTGTGGGTTTGAAGCTCCTGGGTTGGTGTGATGGGGTGGAGATGAGTGTAGGAGGCTTATAAGTCGTTATAAGCACAGGTCTGGTTTGACACTGCCTTCTGCAGTATTGTGAGGGGCGTGGGGAAACGGACAGAAATGATGAATGTGCGGTCCTTCACCTCACAGCCTCTCTGTGTAGACGTGCGCTGGGGCAGGGCCTCTCGTGTGACAGGCACATGTGGGGCTATTGAGGCCAACCCGGAGGGGTCAGTGGGCTGCCGAGTCCTGCCTGGGCCCTGCTGGCGCAGGGCAGGGAAGGAGCGAGGAGTGGCAGGCGCTGTCTCCTCACCCTGAGGGGAAGAGAGGTGGGCAGGAGCCTGAGCGTGGCTGGGAGGAGCCGCCTTCTCCCCCCCAATCTCACTAGGGTCTGTGTTACTTTTGAAAAGGTGTGGGCGCCTGTTCCCCCTCCCAGGGCCCTGAGGGACGAGGGGAGGTCATTGGCTCTGTTTCCTGCCTCTTGGTCCCCCACCCCCCACCCATGTATCATAGGGACTTTCACCTCAAAATCTTTCTAAGCAAAGTGTGAATAGGATTTTTACTCCCTTTGTACAGTATTCTGAGAAACGCAAATAAAGGACAATGTGTTCCTGAGTCTGGCCTCGGCTTCCTAGAGGGCCCTGGGGGAGGGGGCAGGGGAGTGGGAGCCTCCGTTGGGCAGTTGGCCTGGATGGTGGAAGGGGCCCTGGGACCGCTGCTCTCCCTGTGGTCGGTCCCCAGCAGAGCACGTTGTGAGGGAACAAAGCAGCCACAGGCGGAGCGCAGAACTCTGTTCTGTGACTTTGCCTGGCTGTTCGAACCTCGGGACAGAACTTCCACCTCCACACTCCACAGGCTGGGCTGGCAGAGAGATGGCTTACGCCATGGCCAGGGAGGTCAGTCCAGCAGTGGCTTCAGGAATGAAGTCAGAGTCCGAGGGGTGCCCCATCTTTTCCTCTGAACGCCTCCCTCGTTCCGACTCTCCCCCGAGTCCTCCCTCTCTGGGAGGGCTGCACCTCCTCCTGGCCTTGGTGTCTTAGAGGATCTTCATGCTGCTTTCCCCCCACGGGTAAGATGAGTGGGAGGGGCAGAGGTAACCCCCAGGACTTGTAGTTAGGCTCACGTGGCCAGAGAGGGAGTCCTTCAGCAGGGAACTTATCTCTGAATTCTTATCTCCAAGGCTCCTCGCTTTTCAGTTTATTCTGAGCAGCAGCCGTCTGCTATTCCCCGGACAGGTACAAAGTCCTGGGCGGAAGGGAGGAGCTGCCCCCGCAGCCTGGGCTCCTCTCTGGCCCTGGTCCAGCATCACAGTCCGTGGAGTGGGTGTCGGGAAGAGTACAGGATCTTTACCGAAGTCCACCTACCACCCCCCCTGCTGCCCCAGAGTGAGGCTCACAGCACTGGGAGGAGAAATGCAGCCACTTGGGCTCAGTCCTAGAGGTGGGGTGCCCTGGGAGCTTCTGTGGACCTGCAAGAGTGCAGTCAGGTGAGGGCTTGGGACACATCAGCAATAATTTGGTTCAAATCCCAGCTCTGCTGCTGACTGGCTTTATGTCCTTGTCAAGTTACTTCTCTGGGCTTCAGATTCTTCCTCTGCTGTATAAAGATAATACTTCTTGCCCTAGCCAGTTTGGCTCAGTGGATAGAACAGTGGCCTGCAGACCAAAGGGTCCTGGGTTCGATTTCGATCAAGGGCACGCGTGTACCTTGGTTGCAAGCTCCTCCCTGGCCTGGGTCCTGGTCGGGGCACATGCAGGAGGCAACCAATCGATGTGTTTCTCTCACATCGTGTTTCTCTCTGTCTTTACCTCTCCCACTTTCTCTAAAAATCAATGGAAAAATATCCGCGGGTGAGGATTAACATCAACAACAAAAATAGTGATGCTATGACTGGTAAATGTGAAAATATCTCTAAAATAAAATAAAAAAGATAATACCTCTTAATGCTATTGTGAGGATTAGCACAATGCCTGGCATGTAGTAAACACTAAATATGTGGTAGACATATTAGTATTATTATGAATTACTACCATCATCATCTCCTGAAATGTTCTTTCGGACCTGAGGGAGGCAGGGGCCAGAAGACAGGCAGGCTCACGCTGGGGAGTATCTCTGACCAAGGAATTGTCTCTGACCCGGGAGTGGAGCCCGAGGTCCCTCCCCGGGAAAGGAGGGGTGAAGGAGACAGGTGGCATCTGCCCGGGAGGGCCACATGGGAGCGTGTGTGAGGGGGGCAGCGAGGCGGAGTCCTCCTTTTTGTTTTGTTTTTTGTTAATCCTCACCTGAGGATATTTTCCCATTGATTTTTAGAGAGAGTGGAAGAGAGGAGGAGAGACAGAGAGAAACATCGATGTGACAGAGATACTTCGATTGCCTGCCTCCCGCGCACACCCCAACTGGGGCTGGAGACCGAGCCTGCAACCGAGGTACATGCTCTTGACTAGAATCGAACCTGAGACCCTTCAGTCCGGGGACCGATGCTCTATCCACTGAGCCAAACTGGCTAGGGCTGAGTTCTTCTTTTTTTTATTATTTTATTTATTAATTTATTTTTTCTTTATTGATCAAGGTATTCCATATGTGTCCTTATCCCCCCGTTGCCCCCCCACCTCCCCACTCATGCCCTCATCCCCCTGTTGTCTGTGTCCATTGGTTAGGCTTCTATGCATTCATACAAGTCCTTTGGTTGATCTCTCCCCCTTACCCTGAGTCCTCCTTTTTGACCCTGCCTGTCTCTACAGGTGTTAGTTACTGTTGCTCTTTGAGTCATCAGTGTTACCTACCATTGCCTGGCATCTGGGTAACTGGTTCTGGTTAGATCACTCTCGTAGCCCTAACACAGCCATAGCCATTGCCTGCTGGCACTTGATTGGTACCACCCATATTCTGTTTATTCCAAACTCACTGAATTGCATGGCCTAGTGTGCCTTGTTCTGCACCATTCCCTGGCCCAAACTCACCTAATCAACTAGAATATATATCAGTTAGAGATAAAGCTATACATACGCCAGCTGGTCCCTGTGTTCAAAAGGAGAAAAGGGTTTCTTACCTTTGGCCTTCCCGGCCTCCAGCTCAGCCATAATGTGGCTTATCTAAAGGTCTGATAGGTGGGGCACCTAGCTCTACCCAGCTTTCCAGCTCCTTTCAATTCCCTTGTTATAGCTTCCTCAGACACAGTGGCCAGGAATTGCACAGAGATCTTACAAAGGGGATTCTCACAACCTCCATTTCTGGTGAGTAGTTGAGGACAGAGGAGAGGTGGGTGGCACCTGACATGGGCCTGTGGGCCCTGGGCACACTGCCTTTCCAGACACCCAGAAGAATTCCTAGGTTGGGAGTGAGTTGAGAGTTGGACACCATGATGGGGGCAGGGACAGGAAAGAAAGCCTGGGTGAGCAGGTGCCTGGCCAGCCAGAGGGACTTAAGGGAAGGTGGTCAGAGGAAAGATGGGGAAGTGGAGCCCTGGCCCCAGGAGGGAAGCCAAGGAGCCTGAGGAAAGGGAAAGATCTTAAAACAGCGGTTCTCAACCTGTGGGTCGCGACCTCTTTGGCGGTCGAACGACCTTTCACAGGGGTCGCCTAAGACCATCCTGCATATCAGATATTTACATAACTATTCATAACAGTAGCAACATTACAGTTATGAAGTAGCAACGAAAATATTTTTATGGTTGGGTCACAACATGAGGACTGTATTTAAAGGGCCAGAAGGTTGAGAACCACTGTCTTAAAAGAAAGGAGTTGTTGAGTGATTGATGGAAGGGGAGAGAGTAAGAAGGATTTAGAGGTAAGAGAGCCCTGATGTGGTGGGGGCAAAGAGCTGCTGCTGAAGAGAAACGGGGAGGGAGCAGCTGTGTCAGACTGGACTGGCAACAAGCCTGTGGGGGGTCCCACGGAGCAGGGGAGATAGAGCGGTACAGGGGCCAACTTTAGACCAGGAGAGGATGAAGGGGAGAGTGGGTGGGGGGAGATGCCCCAGATGGAATTGTGGAATTCATTTTAGTTTATCCAGTGTAAGGGGACCCTTCAGAAGGTGACCTGAAACTGAGGAGAGAGGACCTGAAGGTGGGCTGGCCAGGGCGCCCAGCTCCAAGCCACTCTTGCACTCAATCCCCTCTCTTTTATTTCCTTCTGAGGCCGACTTGTTGGGAAATGGTTGGTAGGGGCACCCATGCAACTACCTTGCAGAGCATAGTAAGGGAGGGAGGCCCAGGAGTCAGAACCAAAGGAAGAAGTAATCATTTGCCCCTCATTCCTTTCTGGGTCCTCTGCTTATCAGCACTGGGGAGAGTCTAGGGCAGCCGTGGGCAAACTACGGCCCGCGGGCCGGATCCGGCCCGTTTGAAATGAATAAAACTAAAAAAAAAAAAAAAAGACCGTACCCTTTTATGTAATGATGTTTACTTTGAATTTATATTAGTTCACACAAACACTCCATCCATGCTTTTGTTCCGGCCCTCCGGTCCAGTTTAAGAACCCATTGTGGCCCTCGAGTCAAAAAGTTTGCCCACCCCTGGTCTAGGGGATGGAGGGCCTGCCTTCCCACCCCTCAAGGTCCCTCTGGGCAAGGGGACAGCTATGCTGAGAGATGCAGAAAACAGGTCCTAGTTTCCATTTGGGGCAATCACTGCTCCATCCTTCCTCCAGAAGGTTTCCATGAGGGGCAGAAACAGGGAAGGCAAATAATCCCAAGTCCTGGTTGTCCTAGAACCTTTGGATCTTCCTTGACCCCAACCTGCCTAAGGTAGATTAAAAAACCTGAGCTAATATCTCCCAAACTGAATTTGGCTTCCTTTTCCCAGTTGGTCCAGGCACAATGCCCAGCGTATTTAAGACAATCACAAGAGCTGTGGTCCAGGAGTTGGATGCTGGAGGCGATATGATTGAAGTCAGAAGCGTCCTTGATGCTGACAAGTTTCATTGTTTCTGTCTGGTGATGGAGATGAACACACGCCTTTGCTACAGAACAGACCTCACCCTGGAGGACATACTGGAGAGTGACAAGGGTGAAGGGCAGTGTGATGAGCTGGATTCTGGGCTTCCCGGTCATTATGAGGTACAGGAGATGGCCAGCCAGGAAACTTTGCCCCCTCCTACTGCGCCCGACCCTCAACTTCACACTGCCAGCAACCAAGTGAACCAGTCAACAGAAACACTAGAATTTGTTTGTTTTTTTTAAAATATATTTTATTGATTTTTTACAGAGAGGAAGGGAGAGGGATAGAGAATTAGAAACATCGATCAGCTGCCTCCTGCACACTCCCCACTGGGGATGTGCCCGCAACCAAGGTACATGCCCTTGACTGGAATCGAACCTGGGACCCTTGAGTCTGCAGGCCGATGTTCTATCCACTGAGCCAAACCGGTTAGGGCAGAAACACTAGAATTTGTATGAACACATCCACACACCTCAATTTAAGAAATGCACAGAAGAGCTGCATGGGAGATGGGAATGGGGAAGTGGAAATTTATTTTTCTTTAAAAAAATATTTTTATTGATTTCAGAGAGGAAGGGAGAGGGAGAGAGAGAGAAACATCAACGATGAGAGAGAATCATTGATTGGCTGCCTCCTGTGCACCCCACACTGGGGATCAAGCCCACAACCCGGGCATGTACCCTGACTGGGAATTGAACCTTGACCACCTAGTGCATAGGTTGACGCTCAACCACTGAGTCATACCAGCCGGGCGGAAAGTTATTTTTCTTGGAAACCAGTCCTAAATAGTCTTTCTTTCCCAATTTCCCCTTTGTAAATAATTTGTTTTAAAATTAGCTGATGTCTTCTCATGTCCTTATATGTTTATCACTTAAGTGGGTACATAAATGGAGGTCATTTGCTTAGTGGTTAAGAAAACACGCAGGCTTCAGAGCTGGGGACATGTGGTTTCTAAGCCTGGCTCCACCACTTACCAGCTGGGTGACCTCTGAACAAGTTTGTTTTCTCATCTGTCAACTTGAGCAAGACTGTTGCAAAAATCCAATGAGATAAATTACGTAAATCATTTATCACAGTGCCTGCACAGAGGAACACTCAAAGTTCACCAAGTCATTCTGCTGTGGCAGTTATGATTCTCCCTTCGTGTTCCCCGGAGATCATGACTAAGTAGCTGGTGAGCAGAACTCACCAAGGGCTGGAGGGGGCTCCTAGAGGAGTATGTTCCGCCCCCTGCCTCCACACTTAGCTCTTCTTGGGGTTTTCTGGATTTGAGAAGCCCCAGGGTAAGTGTTGTTGAACCCTCACTTGAAGACATGACAGTGTCTCACACCTCATGGAGAGGAGTTTTACAGCTCAGACGACTCGAATGTCGCCCATCTGGGTGTCATCCTGAGATGGAAGACAATTCTGACCGTCGCACTGTACAGTTTTAGAGCACCTGCCATGCCAGGCACTGCTGTCACGTGACCCAGAACAGTGTCCAGATTACTGGGAGGTGGCGGCTGTTTTCATATAGAAGTTTACTAAAGCAACCAAGGTGTTTTGCCACGATCATAAAAATTTGACTAAGTCAGTTTAACTTCCTTAAAGGGAAAGTCTATCTATTTGCATAAAACTTTCAGAGGCAGAGGTGAAACCAAACTTTTAAAAAAATCCATAGGAATGAATTCAATTGGTCATTTGAATTGATTTTTAGCAACTTGGCCTGCTCCCTTTTCAGGTGGGTTATTTTATTTTTTTAACTACATGGTGCCCATGGTGTTGTTAAAGCATGCATAGGGTTTGTTTGTTTGTTTGTTTTTATTATCTAAAGTCCATACTTCATTGAGATTATCTTAATTTACCTAATATCCCTTTCCTGTTCCAGGACCCCAAACAAGATACCACATTACCTTTAGTTGTCACATCTCCTTAGGCTCCTTTTGGCTGTGACAGTGTCTCAGACTTTCCTTGTTTTTGATGATCTTGACAGTTTTAAGGGCCTATTGTAGGATCCCTCTCTATTGGAATTTGTCTGATGCCTTTTTCTTGTGGTTAGACTGAGATAATAATGGGTTTTGGGAAGGAAGACCATAGAGGTAGAGCTATTCTCCTTACACTATATCAAGGGTATGGACTATCAAATTGACTTTCACTATTGATGTTTGCCTTGGTCACCTGGCTGAGGTAGTGTTCATCATGTCTCCCCTATAAAATTAGTCTTTTATCCCCCTTTCTATGCTGCACTCTTTGTGTGCATAAGGCTTGCTTTTTCTTATCTCTCTGATAAAGTACATGCAAACTGTTACATTGCTCAAGAAACAAACGGGTCCTGAGACATTGGTGTCGCACCTACAGGACTGATTCCAGGCACTATTTCCACTTCTGTCATGTCTCACCAGTTCCAAAATGCATTTTTCTCTGGAAATTCAGAGATCAGTGTGACCTCTATCCTTCTCTTTCCAGGTTCAAAGGCTGCGCTCCAAGCTGTGGATGTGGTAGACTCAACAGGGGAGTCGACAGTGAAATTGCCCAGGGGAATTACAGTTGAAGGGGCCTTCCAAGAGTCCCACAGGCATGACATCACGATGTTGTGGTCCAGGACATCCAGCCACATCTGGATTCCCTCCAGGACAGGTAAGGCTGGAGGTAGGCAGCCGTGGGGAGAAGGAAAAGGAGAAGCCCCAAGGGCATCTGAGTGGGGGCAGCCTCACTCCCTACTCCGAGTACTCCTCTCACCCACTCCTTTCCTCAAGCTTGCCGTACTCTTCTTCTCCACCTTCAGGAAGCTGTCTCGTTCTCCCAGGATCAGGAAATCTTCTTCTGATGCCCTCAATTCACTCACATCCCTGCTGTCCTCCAGGGTGACTGATTTCTCTGGCTTGAACCAAAACGTACTGGTTTCAAGAGGCCGCTCTCCTCTGTTTTCTTATACTGAGTTGCCCAAATCTGTATTTTGTGCTTATTTCAGTCTCTGGGTTTATCGCCAGCACTCGGTAAGAGGATAGAGGTGAAACCAAATAAAGCACCCCTGTAGGACATTTTCTGCACAGAAAGTGCCACCACCCCACCCCACCTGGGTGGCTCCAAGTGCCACAGAGGTTCTGATAGCTGAGGTGCTTCCAAGGGACTTCAGGGACATCACCAGCCTTCCCCTCAGCAGTTGTTTTGTTGCTGGTGGTGGAGTTTCCTTCCTCTGCTGGGCTTGTTGGAAACTGGAGCAGCTCAGGAAAGGGGGCCCCATGGCTCTCCTGGGTGAGCCCTCCCTGAATGGATGGATGCCTTTGTTTTTCCTTTTTAATTAAAAAGTGAAAGGCTGATCCTTGGAACTACCTCTCCTTACCATAGTACTGTTAAGGAGGAGTCTGGAATTTTTCTAAGGGAGCTCAGTTTTTCAATTTTTTTCTAGAAGGCCTGTTTTTAAAAAATATATTTTTTATTGATTTCAGAGAGGAAAGGAGAAGGAGAGAGAGATAAAAACATTAATGATGAGAGAGAATCATTGATTGTCTGCCTCCTGAATGCCCCACACTGGGGGATCAAACCTGCAATTCAGGCATGTGCCCTGACCGGGAATTGAACCATGACTTCCTGGTTTAAAAGTTGACGCTCAACCACTGAGTCAAGCCAGCAGGCCAGCCAGCCAGGCTGGAAGGCCTATTGTTTCTAGGGTGAGGCAAAGTTGTCTGTGCATATAACGTTGGGGGACAGGGTATTAGACAGAGGAAGGTCAGAAGAGGCAAGGATGGAGGTCTTCCTTGAGGGTTTTGGGTTATAAATACCAGAAGTTCCATCAGGATGTTTTTTGTCACAGAATGAATTTCCTTATGGAATCAGAGATGCCTCCTGGAGCCTAAGGGTGGACAGTGCGTCCAGGCCCCAGGAATCAGTCTGAGGAGCTGGAGCCCCTTCTCAGAGGAGGGAGTGTTGTGGGCTGGGTAGATGCCTATCTCGGTGCCATGGGAAAGACACATGCTTGACTCATACAGAGGAGGATTTGAATCCCAGCTCTGTACTTATTAGCTGTGTGACCATGGACAATTCATAACCTGTCTCTGAGCCTCAATTTCCTCATGTGAAAATGGGTACATTTCTGCCCACATCATAGGGTTGTGATGAGGGTGAAATGAATAGCGTGTGAAGGAGCTTGCGGTGCTGGCACATTCTTCCATAAGTGCTAGTTGAGCTCCCTTCCCACTTTGCCCCCTCTTGCCCCCACAGTGGGCGAAGTGCACTTTAATCTCAAATAGGAACGGCTGATGGAGAGGGGAAAATGTCCCTGAGAGGTGAGGCTCCTGAGATCCTGAACTCTCACCCCGCAACACTCTGTCCAGGAAGCTGAAGAAAAAACTACCCACTTCGTTTCTATCCATGCGGACAAGGGGAGAAGACCCGTATCTGGTGACAGAAACTCTGGGGACAACAAAGAAGGAAACCCTGACAAGTGAACGGCAATTTAAATTTTGGAGCCTGCTGAAGTTTTTCAACCTCAAATATGAATGCAAGGTTAGGGTCCGGGGAACAGGGCATGGGGGGAGAGCCAGCCTGGGCCCACCCACTGCGGGTGGAGAAATGCCAGCCCAGACTCCAGGCTCTTCAGTTCTTCCTCCAGGCCTCCCTAGTAGACGTGCCTGCTCCGTAGCCTTCTTAGGACTTCCCTCCTTGCCCAAGAAGGTGTGTGTGGCATCACTAAGTTCCTCCCCTGGTATCTCTAGTGATGCCCTGTGTTCATCTGCTTCGTAGCACTTCGCATGGGTCACCATTGCATGGGGTTTTTTGCTAATTCATTGTCTGCCTCCCTTTCTAAGACATAGGAGGGCGGGAGCCACAGTGCCTGGAACAAAACAGGTCCTCAATGAACATTTGTCGAATGTACAGTGGAAACCACATGAGTTTTGAGGTCAGATGTAGGTTCAAATTTCAGCTCTGTTAGTTTTTAGCTGTGAAACTGACACACCTACTGACCCTCACTGAGCCTCAGTTCTCTTGTCTGTAAATGGGGCACGAGATCTCTACCTCCCCCCAGGATTGTTTGGGAGATCAGGCAAGATAACTATGTAAAGCACCTAGGGATCAATTAACATGAGCTCCTTTTTCCTAGCACCAAAGGCAGTGACCATCCCCCCAAAGCTGGTCCTGGGCTATAGAGTAAAGCAGCTTGTCTTCCCCAACATGGAAAGGATGAGTAAGCAAGGTCTGCTGGGGGCAGGTGGGTGGGGAGCTTCACACATGAGTGGAAGGGGGGTTGATTCAGCCTGGAGGGGCCCTGGTGAGCTTGAGGGTGCTCACCAGGAAGGAGGAGGGCAGGTTCAGGGCTGGGGAGAAGGACTGAAGCTCCTTGCTCAGACACCACTGAACCAAGGATCTGCTCCATCATGACACTAATCCAGTGGTTCTCAACCTTCCTAATGCCACAGCCCTTTAATACAGTTCCTCATGTTGTGGTGACCCCCAATTTCATTGTTACAAATTGAACATAATTAAAGCATAGTGATTAATCACAAAAACAATATGTAATTATATATGTGTTTTCCAATGGTCTTAGGCGACCCCTGTGAAAGGATCGTTCGACCCCCAAAGGGGTCGCGACCCACAGGTTGAGAATTGCTGCACTAATCCTTCCCTAGAGGCTTTAACTCCCATCTCTCTCCCAGTATTTGTTTTTTGTTTTTTTTGTTGTTGTTAATCCTCACCCAAGGATATTTTTTCCATTGATTTTTGGAGAGAGTGAAAGGGGGGAGGAGGGAGGAGGGAGAGAGAGAGAGAGAGAGAGAGAGAGAGAGAGAGAGAGAGAGAGAGAGAAACATTCATGTGTGAGAGACACATCAATTGGTTGCCTCTGCATGTGGGATCGAACCTGCAACCAAGGTATATGCCCTTAACTGGGAATGAAACCCGAGACCCTTTGGTCCTAGGGCTAACACTTAACCACTGAGAAAAACCGGCCAGGGCTGTTTATTTTGGGGGGAGGATTGGGGAGTGACTAGAAAGAGGGAGTGACTAGAAAGAGGAACTTAGAGAAAACTGGTCTTTCTGATACTGGAACCTCTCTCTCTCTCTCTCTCTCTCATTACTTTAGATATTTGTTCCTTTCCAGAAGGTGAGTGAGCTTCTGGGCCTCCTGTTCTTTATTCTACATTGGGCAAGGATACTATTTTTAAAAACAGGATAACAAATAACAAATGGCCTGGAAATATAGTTATTAAGACTAAGAATGCAATAGGATGCACCAGAGATGGGGACTGTGGTAAGGGCAGGAGAAAAAACGTGCCTGTTGGAGAAGTAGGTTGGATTGCATGTTAGCGCAGAGTTTCCAGATCTGGCAACGCCGGCTTGCTCCGTGTGGGTCAGTGTGCTGGGCCCCGGGGTCACAGCCCTGGGAAGCACTTTTGAATTACATGGCCAGTTCTCACATGATAGCACTGGACTCGGGAGTCAGATGGCCTTAGGGTCTAGTCCTGGCTCTCTCACTCATTAGCTCTAGAGCCTCCTGAGCCATGGTTATCCTGACTTTAAAATGAATGGGTTAGACCAGAAGATCCCTGTGATTCAGAATGTGGCTTCCTCTGGAATTTCAGTCTTTCCTGGATCCCAGAAGAAGAATTGTACTGCCTGACAGACCTTGGGAAGGGATAGTGAGGTCTAGATGTGGTTGAAAATTCAAAAAACTTCCAGAAGTTGTAGAAGTTACAGGTTCAGTCCTGGCAAGGCCTTGCTAGCTCGGAGGAGTGAACCTCTGTCGTTCTATGTGCCGGAACAGAGAGTCGGGAGACAGATCCCAGGCCCTGCTCTGACACATGTCTGCTGAGTTCTGACAGCGTGGTACACCTTCTCTGGGCTTGTTTCTTTTTCAATCATCTATGCATAGTCCTCTGGCTGCCTATCTCTGAGGATGTGGGGATGGGTCTGCAAATATAGTGCTTGTCATTTACACACAGGGAGGAGGACACAGGCTCCCTGGCATGGGCAGTGAGGGCCCAGAGTCCAGGAATGAAAACTTTCATCACTGGGAAGAGAATATCAACAGGGGGCTGGAGGTGACCTAAATACTCTCTGAGATAACTTTTCCTTTCTTTGCAGAGGAAGATGGTGGTGCTTCTTGTTTAGGTAAGGATGGGAGCCAGCTATGTTCAGGGTGGCTGCACCCTTTACCCTTGAGCCCTCTGGCCTCAAGGACTGGAGCTCAGGTGGGGTGGCTGAGTATGTATGTGTGTGGGTTGGGGGGGAAGGCTTGAGGGGAGAAAGGTAGGTCAGGGCCCAAAGCAGGTTTTAGCATTAGTCTGGGGGTTGCATCTGTCTCCTCTAAACACATTGGTTGTGCATAGACATCACCTAGGGCAGCGGTCTGCAAACTCATTAGTCAACAGAGCAAACTCATTAGTCAACAGAGCCAAATATCAACAGTACGACGACTGAAATTTCTTTTGAGAGCCCAATTTTTTAAACTTAAACTATACAGGTAGGTACATTGTTATTAACTTAATTAGGGTATTCCTAAGGCTTAGGAAGAGCCACACTCAAGGGGCCAAAGAGCCACATGTGGCTCGCGAGCCACAGTTTGCTGACCACTGACCTAGGGGAACTTTAAAAGTCCACTGAGCCAAACCGGTTTTGGCCAGAAATTCTGATTTAATTGATCTGGGGGTGTGGCCTGGGCATCATGATTTTTAAAATCACTTCGCAGGTGATTCTCATGTACAGTCAAGGCTAAGAACCACTGCTCTAACTTCTTCTAAATCCTCACTACTCTTAGTGTGATCTAAAGGCTTCACTTTGAAAGGTAAGGACTCAATAAGCTTTGATTTCCGGGAGGTGGAGAAGAATTTGGGGTTGGTACTAGACTGGGGGTGAGCTAGGGAGAGGGAAGTGGGGTCAGCGGGCAGCAATGATGGTGGGTGTTTGGGAAGAAAGGTGCTTCATTTTAACAGGAAAAGATTAGAGGAAGGGAAGATACAGAAGTGTTCTCCAGAAGAAACATAGACGAAGAGTAGGGTCTTGGTAATGGAGCTTGTTGGGCTGGGTAGGTTGGGTTCTTAACTGCTGCCTCTATAGGAAAGTCTTTGAACTTGGAGGATTTAAGAAACATGAAGGAGAAGGTGCAGGACACAGTGAGTGGTCTCCAGGATCTGCCTGAAGAGGAGCGAGATGTGCTAAGCTACCTCACTAAGTGCCTCACCACAGACGAGGGGCTGAAGGATCTAGATGAAAAAGTAAGAGACCCAAGAAAGAACTTGGGCAGCGAGAGGGAGAAGGCTAGGTGGAGGGCAGCGGACACACTGCAGACAATCTGCTTTAGTGGGACTTGTGCTCATCTCCCATCTCCTGGCCATAGGTGTCTAAAGTCCTGACCTCCGGTGAGCTGCAGATGGAGGGCCCAGCAGGTCCTCTCCTGAGTAGCCTTTTTAATGCTGCTGGCATCTTGGTTGAGGCATGTGTAGAAGCCATTCTGGAGTTCCTGGAAGCCTTGAAGGGTGAGGAGGAGTCTGGATGGATGCTGATGTGGAGGACATGCTGAGCAGAGGGGTCTGTGGGGACCAAATCTTGGCAGGAGGGTGTTACACACTGCCTTTACCTCTTGTGAGGAATAAACCATCACATTTCAGAAACTGGCCATCTCCCCCAGACCAGGGGTTGAGGGACTGCCCCCTCTTCCCCCCTTGGCACAGTCTCCGACCTCCTGGAGGCTAAGAGGGAAGCAGGAGCCCATTTGGAAATACTCCCATCTCGCACTCCCAGGAGCTCTCTGGAACCTCTTCTCATGCTTGTCTTGGGTCTGATCAGACACTGAAGCCCTGTTCCACTGTGTGCCTCTCCCTCTTTTTTATCCTCAGAGCTGTCTGAGGAGAAGGAGCTTATGGCTGAGACCCTAAAGAAGGGGACCCTGCCCCTGATGAAGGACCAGGTAAGAGAGTCTGGGCTGAGGGCCAGGCCTTAGTAGAAGTGAATGCCCATGCTTTCAAGGGACCCAGAAATCCCAGGATTCTGTCCCTCCTGACTTTGTAGTTCTTTGTCAGCTCATGTCCATTAAGCTGGTTTGTGGCATATAGTTTCTGGGACAATTAGGAATATGCAAGGGGCGGGAGTGTAACTGTTAGTCCCAGGAGGCAGTTGGTACCATCTTAAGTGCCAAACTGATTGGTTAGCAGTACCTGTCACTATGCTGAGAGCATCAGGCTCTCTAGGCCCGCAGGAAAGAGGGCTCTGCTGGATGACTGTGTCTGCCATGGGCTCAGGGTTCAGGAGTGTGGCCAAGTGTTAGCCATTGCTGGTATATTTCTATGTTTCTAGCTTTTACAGTCTGGTGGGTTTCCTTCCAGGTGGAGTCTATCCTGGAGCAGAACTGGGGTGAGCAGCCCTGTGATGTGCCCTTGAGACTCTCTATGCCCTCTTTGTTGCTGTCTTCATCCTGCTGCAGCTGAGTGAGAAGCCTGCCTCTGTGCCTTCCTGTTAGCTCTTTTTTTTTTCCAATCCTCACCCGAGAATATTTTTTCATTGATTTCTAGAGAGAGTGGAAGGGAGGGAGGAGGTGAGGAGAGAGAGAGAAACATCAACGTGAGAGACACATTGATTGGTTGCCTCCCGCATGTGCCCCTAAGGGAGCTGGGGAACCTGCAACCAATGTATATGCCCTTGATCAGGAATCGAACCCGAGACCCTTCAGTCTGCAGGCTGATGCTCTAACCATTGAGTGAACTTAGCTTTTTAACCATTCTCCCCACACACCTCTGGGTGCTCCCCTCCCAGTCCATCCTCACCCCCCCCCCACCTTCCCCAAGTCACCAGAATGAGGTCTTTAGAACAAGCACCTGGCTCTTCGATACATCCCATTCCCCACATGATAATGTACAAAACCAGACTGGATTGTATGCATAGAATTCTGATTAAAAGTGGAAGATTGATCATATTTATTTCCTCTCCTTCTTGAAACTTCACTTAATGACAGTAAAGCAAGAGAAAGGAACTAAACCCACAAGAATAAAAGGAATGAGGCAGCAGGTAAGGGATTTCAACACATCTTTGGAAGCTAGAAAGTCATTAAAGGAGTGCAAGCCGGGAGGTGCAGGGCTGAGGGGTGCCTTTTGGTTCTATTTAATATTTTTTAAGACAATGTAATTAAAAGTAAAAGACATATGCTTGCTATAAAGGATTTCAAATATTTCTCAAAGTCAAAGTTGATCCTCTTTTCTATCTAATATACAACCACTATTCACATTTTGGGGCATGTTAACATTTTTCCTGTGCAACAGCTTTTAAAATGGTAATTTAAACATGAAGCTAGCCCTAGCCGGTTTGGCTCAGTGGATACAGCGTCAGCCTGCAGACTGAAAGGTCTCGGGTTCGATTCCGGTCAAGGGCACATGCCTAGGTTGCGGTCTTGATCCCCAGCAGGGGGCATGCAGGAGGCAGCCGATCAATGATTCTCTCTCATCATTGATGTTTCTATCTCTCCCTCTCCCTTCCTCTCTGAAATCAATAAAAATATATTTAAAATATAAATTAAAAAAATAAACATGAAGCTAGGGTGATATAACAGATTTATTTTGTATCTTTTGAACTAGAGTTATTTTTTCTTTTAAGCTTGTAAAAATATTATATGCAACAGGAATTCTCATAAGTGCTGTTGGGAGTACATATTGGTCAACCACTTTGGAAGACTAACAGTATCTACCAAAACTAAACATATCCCTATGACCCAGGAACTCCACTTCCAAGGCATATACCCAAGAGGAATGAGTGACATATTCACCAAAAGACACGCATATACAAAAACGTTAATATAAGAGGCAAGCTGAAAACTCTTCAAATGTCCAATAACATTAGGATGGATACATATATTGTGCTATATTTATACAATAAAAGAGAACAAATTACTATACATAACAACATGGATGACTCTCACAGACATAATGCTGAGCAAATGAAAGAACATTGGTTTTTTAAATTTATTGATTTTAGAGAGAGAAAGAGGAGAGAGAGAGAGAGAGAGAGAGAGAGAGAGAGAGAGAGATTTGTAGTTCCACTTATTTATGCATTCATTGGTTGTTTCTTGTATGTGCTCTGACCTGGGATTGAACCCACAACCTTGGCTTATCAGGACAATGCTTTAACCAACTGAGCTAGGCCAGGGCAAAACACTCATAAAAAGCATCTACTTACTGACAAGATAAAGAAGCTCAAGCCAAAATATAAGTGAAAAGGAGACCTAGGAGATAAATGAAGTATCAGAACACTAATACAGTTTTACCCCAGGTAAAGGGGGTTGAGATCTGCAAATCTGAATAAGTTGGGGCTTCAGTTTGGCCAGCCTTGTGGTCCAGAAGTCAAGGCCAAGGACCCATCCAAGATGGGGAGTCTAATAAAAGGAGACATTCTCCATACTAAACTGGAATCTCATTAAGGTAAGGGTGAACCATCAGTAAACCCACAGCCCTGGCCTCACCTGCAGGAAACTGTGGGGAAGACTTTTGGGATTGAGTGAAGAAGAGGTTTATAAAAAGGACAAAAGTTCTGAAATATTGTGGCCGTAGGCTAGTCTTTTCACAGAACTTAGCCTGCATTTTCATCATCTGGGTGTTTCAGAGTATCTCAAATTGCAGACTTAGTTTATGAGGGAACAGGATTGGTTGTGTACCCAGATACCTGTCAGAACTAAACACAAATCTTTTCTGGAGGAAGTTATTTTCATTTCCACAAAAACATTTAAAGGACAAGAGTGGTTCCCAGTAAAAAATAACAAAGCATACAAGGAAATGACACTATGAGCAAGAATAAGCAGAAACAACAAACAGCTCAGACATAGATTCTCATGCATAAACAGACACTTGATATATGGGAGAAGTATCATTACAGATTAGTGGGGAAAGGCTAGACTTTTCCTTTATTTTTTTTTACTAGCATTGCAGGAAATGTTAAAGGGAGTGCTTTAAGAAGAAGAAGAAATTGAGAGAGAGAGGAACATATGTCAAGGCTAGACTTTTCAATAAATGGTCCAGGACAATTGGGTAACCACGTGGATAAAAAATGAAATTTGATTCCTACCACCCAGCATCTCTAAAAATTCCAGGTATATTTCAGACCTAAATTTGAAAGGCAAAATTATAACTATATTAACATTAAAGACTTTTGTTCAATCAAAGATATAAAGAAGTGCCCTAGCTGGTTTCACTTAGTGGATAGAGCATCAGCCTGCGGACAAAAAAAAAAGAGAACTTTTTGCTTCTAAATACAAAAGTAATATATATGCCTTTATATTGTATAAGTGATTTCAAGCAAATTAATATATGGAAAGTACAAAGTTTTTATTGTATTATACTTTGCTACTCTTCTTGACCTTAATATAGTCTTAGGCACAGAGCAACAGATTCAGTTTGTAAACAAAACATTTCATTAAAAATCATCCACTAAATACACGTTCCTTTGTACAATGGAGATATTAGATTAAATGCCTTCTTAGAAATGCCATGTCAATTATCTTTTTTTTCTTTTTTAGTTTCTAAAATGTATGTTTTCCAACGTTTTGGTCTCATTGAACTTTCTTAATGGAACTACGATGCTCTGGGATGTGAACAAATCTTGTGTCCCCCACTTCCACCAGCAAGTAGCAACGCTTTCACCTCTAGTCTTCATATTGCAATTTTCGTTTGAAGTTTATGGGCAAAATTTAGCTCCATAGGCAAGGACGGAAATGCAGGTGTGACAAGTAACATCAGCAGCAGGACTAAAAGTCCCAGGACTACAAACCACTGCAGAGGAAAACACATGGAGTAGATTATTATAATTTCAAGTAGAGGTATTTTATACCAATAGTATAAAGCTGCCTTTAATAACATATCATTTCTAAACCTATGATATATTGAGTAGTGTTCTGTCAAGTAAGTTATAGAGAATATTTACGAATTTCAAACGTAATTTAATGATTTTAAAGGCAGGAGAAAGTTAGAATCCCATCTTTCCCATTAGTATCAGCATTTTATAGTATCTTCTGCAGTGCCCCATTTATGAGTTCCTATGCCTGATTCTCTAGTTCCTAATTCCAATTCTGTTTTCTAGGTAGGACCATTCTGTTTTCCTTCACAGTATAGTAGCTTAAGTCAGAACACTATAGAAATGTTCTGTAATATGAAAGAGCATATTAGGAAGAATGAATACAGATGAAGATAATTATATTTAGAAATTTGGTCTTTGAATTTTTACTTTTCTTTGGTTAAATATAACTTTTTTTGTAAGAGGATTGCTATAAAGATTCAATTCAATTATCCTAAGTGAATTATTAATTTGTTCTTCTAAGTACCCTAAATATTAATATATATGTATATTTAATTTTTATTGCATTTATTGGAGTTGGTTAATAAAATTATATAGGTTTCAGGTATACAATTCTATAATACATCATCTGTAGATATTTATATTTTATAATTACCGCAACAGGTAGCACAATTACTGTGTAGACCTTCATTTTTCCCAAAGCCTGGACGACAGCTATCCATACGTGCCATTTGAAAACTGTGGTCCATAAAATGCATAGCTGGTCGAGTTTTATTATAGTCATGGTAGAAAATAAATGCTTGGCTTCGGAAAAATTCTGCTATTCGATCTCTTGCCTATATTTTAAAATAGCAGTGAGAAGTACAATGACTAAACTGTGAAGCAATTTCTCCTCCTGCATCAGAGGCAATGAAACGTACTATCAGCACACTCACGCCATCCATGTTTTACACAAAAGATGAATTCCTGAAAAGTTATGTTAATACTAAAATTAGCCTTGACCTTATCAACTATTATCAATTCATATGTAAACTGGTTAAGAAAAATTAACTTGAGATCAATAAACACTTGTTTTGGATTATTTGCAGCATGTCTATTCCATTTTTAGATAATATTTATTATTTCTAATTCCAAAGAAACAAATAAAATGGAAACTAAACGTTTTCTCTAATCAGCATTATAAACTAATGAATAAATTTTATTTTATTTTTTTAAGCATAGAGTTTAATAAAGACTAATATAAACTCAGTGCTTCCCATAACCCATGCACAATATAAAGGTTATGGGCTCAGGAACTAGACCAGGAGTGTGAAGGAATTTTTTTAGACTATGTCTTTAACCTCTGAGAATGGCCGAGGAGACAGCTACTATTATGATCACTAGAGGCCCGGTGCATGAATTCGTGCACAGGTGAGGTCGCTCAGCCTGGCCAGATCAGGGCCAATCGGGCCGGCCGGCTGGGGGAAGGGACCACAAGACGTTGGCCAGCCATGGGAGGTTGGCTGTGGGAGTGCACTGACTACCAGGGGGCAGCTCCTGCATTGAGTGTCTGCTCCCTGGTGGTCAGTGTGCATTATAGCTACTGGCCGGTCATCTGGTCGTCTGGTCATCCGGTCCTAATGGTCACTTAGGCTTTTATATATATAGATCATAGATACAGTTTTGAAAGAACCACTGGTTTAACCTAGGATGACCTGATTGTGAGATTGTTCATCAAGCTACTGCTTAGTTAACATTTGGGGAACAAAAACCATTTTTCTGTCATTGAAAAATATATATTAACTTAGGGAGCTATATAATATTCCATATGTACTATTCCAAAACAAAGCATCTTGAAATAGCCAAGACTCACAATCTCAGTATAAATAGCCAAAATCAAAAGTCAATAATACTTTATATTTAGGCTTTTAAAATTAAAGAATAATTTAAGTCTACTTCTGTAGAATGTCTTTATTATTGATAAATATTCACAACATGGAGAAATAGATTTTTGAATTAGTTAGAAAAATTTTGAATAGCTTTATTGACTATTCAAATACGTTCCCCTTACAATGAAATTCTCACCTGGAGGATATTATAATTAGTGATATCTTCACAGTCTACAGCTTCATTGCATGCACTTTTCCACTGTGGTACAAAAGCATGAACTGGAAAGGAAAAATGACATCTTCACAAAAGGATTCTAAAAAATTCCAATAAAGTTCTAAATACTGAACTCAGTATGAATGGGTGCATGGGTTGAATCTATCTGATCCCAGTAATAAAGTTGCACAAACTAAATAATTTATGCATTATGATTTTACTCCATCTGGGGGCTAATGGAAGTAACTACAAGGCTTTAAAATAAATAGAAATAAAATAAATAAAAATAAAGTTATTTTGGTTCCTCCCTTTTATTAAGTTCTCCAAAATCCAATATAAAATTCTGTAAAAAGCTATGGTAAATTTTAGCTGCATAGTTAAAAGCCATATTTATAAAAATAAGGAACCATATATCACAATTGAAGGTAAATACTATAATGTGTTAATTTTTTAACCATTAAAGACTAACTATATACTTTAGTGCTTAATAAACATTTAAGGCCTACTATTTGTAAGATAGCTCACATTAATATGGTAATTAGTTTTATAATCTGTCATGGTTCAAGATTAAACTCATAAAATTAAAGAAAAAAAATTTTTTTTTACCTTGAAAGGCTATAAATAATTCAGGTATGAGGCCATGTTTTGGAAGTTTGACAAAATGGCATTTATATGATGGTTGTTTGATATGGCAAGACAAATCAGAAATTAAATTATTCAAGATTTTCTTCAGCACTGTAAAAAACAGTTCATTATTTCTTCCTACACAAGATTTTGTGGTAAAACGTACAGCCATCTGATATGAATAATCAGGTTCCCGATAGGCTTAAAGGAAGATGAGAATAAAAACAATTGTGCCAGCATTAATTATCTGTAACAATTTTCAAATAACATGTAATAGTAAATTCATCAATCTTACAAATCAGCATACACACTTAACTTAGCCAATAAAATGTTTTATCAGTTTGCTCTCATAAAACTATACAAAACTAATAACTAAATGAAAAAAATGTTATTTTCATCTGATATATTATCTACTCAGTACACATAAAGAAATGGCTTTGGTGGGCTGGCTATCCTATCTAATAATAGACAAACATGGTAATTAACCGTAATTTCGCTACCCTTCCCATTGGCTAATCAGCGAGATATGCAAATTAACTGCCAACCAAGATGGCGGCCGGCAGCCAGGCAGCTGAAGCGAACAGGAGGCTTGCTTGCTCCAGTGATGGAGGAAGCCAAGGTTCCCCGCCTGCTGCGGTCCAGCTCTGAGCTCCAGATGCAACAAAGTTGCAATTATAGAAGCTAAACAAACTCCAGATACCTGCTTTCAGCCGCCAGTGGGCTCAGATCTTAGACCGCCAGTGATGGCAACAGAGTTTCAATTATAGAAGCTAAACAAACCCAGATACTTTCTTTCAGCCGGCAACGGCCTCAGAGCTGGAGCCAGCTCTCAGCTCCAGTGACAGCTATAGAAGGTAAAAAAATCCGAGAAAAAAAGAAAAAAGAAAAAAAGGAGACTGGGAGCTTCCGTTGCAGGCTTGGCCCGCCTGAAAACAGCCATCAGCCCCTCATCCAGGCTGGCCAGGCACCCCAGTGGGGACCCCCCCTGAAGGGGGTGCAGGCAGCCTGAAAACAGCCATCAGCCCCTCATCCAGGCTGGCCAGGCACCCCAGTGGGGACCCCCCCCTGAAGGGGGTGCAGGCAGCCTGAAAACAGCCATCAGCCCCTCATCCAGGCTGGCCAGGCACCCCAGCGGGGACCCCACCCTGAAGGGGATGCGGGCAGCCTGAAAACGGCCCTCAGTCCCTCATCCAGGCTGGTCAGGCATCCCAGTGGGGACCCCCCTGAAGGGGGTGCAGGCAGCCTGAAAACAGCCATCAGCCCCTCATCCAGGCTGGCTAGGCACCCCAGTGGGGACCCCCACCCTGAAGGGGGTACAGGCAGCCTGAAAACAGCCCTCAGCCCCTCATCCAGGCTGGCCAGGCACCCAAGCGGGACCCCCACCCTGATCCGGGACACCCTTCAGGGCAAACCAGCCGGCCCCACCCGTGCACCAGTAAAAGGGTAATATGCAAACTGACCCTAACAGCAGAAAGACTGGGAATGACTGGTCACTATGACACACACAGACCACCATGGGGCAGACGCTCAATGCAGGAGCTGCCCTCTGGTGGTCAGGGCGCTCTCACATGGGAGGAACTCTGCTCAGCCACAAGCAAGGCTGATGGCTGCCAGTACAGCGGTGGCGGTAGGAGCCTCTCCTGCCTCCTCAGCAAGGCTAAGGATGTCTGACTGCAGTTTAGGCCTGCTTCCCGCTGGCAAGTGGACATCCCCCAAGGGCTGCCGGGCTGCCAGAGGGATGTCTGATTGCCATCTTAGGCCCAATCCCCCAGGGAGCAGGCCTAAGCCAGCAAGTTGTCATCCCCCGAGGGGTCCCAGACTGCAAGAGGGCACAGGCTGGGCTGAGAGACCTCCCTGCCCCAAGTGCACAAATTTTTGTGCACCGGGCCTCTAGTATATATATACGTTAACAGTATCAAAGAAAAAATAAGATTGGAGGAGGGTCTTCATTGGCAGAGTGTCATTGTTGTCAGAATAGCCAATGAAAGGGATCATTAATTTGCTTTTATAGGATTAAACATCAGTTTTTAAGATACCTGTCAAATTTATGACAAAGTAGATTGCATACCTAAACAGTGGGAAGTGGGAGGCCGAAAGGGGATAATTTAGTATACACTATCTTGACATTAATTTAAGAGTTTGCCTGGTCAAATACACCCAGAATACTCTGTAAATCATAATGATTATAGAGGGTGTCCCAAAAAATGTATACACACACTTAGAATAATTATAAAGGCAGCGTTTATTAAAATACATTTCATTTTCAAAATTGAGCTATCAGCTGTTAAAGTGCATGTGCATTTTTTGGGGATACCCTGGATATGACAGAATCATTTTCACTAAAGAAACCATACACTTAATTCTGATCCAAGCTAAGTATATTAAGTTAAAATGTGCCTGTATTCTTACCAAACATCATAAAGTCATATCTATTCTTTACCATCTTTTCTTTTTGGGTTTGTACTTTGATAATCTTATAAGAAAGAGTACATGTATAAAGTCCAGATAAAGACTCCAGAAAATCTTTCACCATCAGCTTTCCTGTTTTAGTTATATTTATTCGGTAATTTCCTAAACAGAAATAGTAAATTACTTGGTTATTTAATATATAACAATTCAAACATTATTTAATAAGTTTAGGGTTACAAATAAATACAAAAATGTAAAATTTAATGGACAGTTTTAACTTTAAGAATTCAACAAAATCTTAATTCTGTCATATTACTCTTTGGAGAACCATATGAGATAAGTACAGCTTTGAAATAGGTTTTGGTTTTCTTTAATTCATTTCTTGATGCATCTAATTTCAATTGGTTTATACCAATAATTCAGTAAATAAAATTACACTGCCCTGTAATGCTATACAATTTCTTCACATAAGACATAAATTAATATTTATAATCCATGGCACTCTTCTAATATCACGAAAATTACATATTAGATACCTCATCTCCTTTTACAGGTGCTATGAGGATAAATTTTAGGTTTTATAAAATTTTTGAACTAATACAACTCTGGGAAGTGGGGTGCAAAAATTACTGCTTCAGTTTTTACATAAGGAGAAAATAAGGCACAGACCAAGATATATGATTTATCTAAGTATGGAGCAAGTGGAATTGCAATTAAAATTCAGCCCAGCTATTGTAGCTCAGTGGTTGAGCATTGACCTATCAACCAGGAGGTCACGGTTTGATTCCTGGTCAGGGCACATGCCCAGGTTGAGGGCTCAATCCCTAGTGTGGGGCATGCAGGAGGCAGCCAATCAATGATTCTCTCTCATCATTGATGTTTCTATCTCTCTCTCCCTCTCCCTTCCTCTCTGAAACCAATAAAATATATATTTAAAAAAATTAAATTTCAATTTGTTCATTCTAATAAGTGATAATGCTTTTCTTAAAAAAATGTTCACATCATTAAAAAGGAAGGTATTAAAATCAAAAAATTTACCTGTTAATGGCTTTTCATCAGGCCCAATCCATAAGTAGGTAGGGTCCACTGTTTCTTTCTTAGCAAGTTGTATATCCATACAGACAAGGAATGGGCTATTTTGGTGTAATTCTACATATATCTTCACTGTGACAAGATAAAATAATATATAACTACATTATATAGCAAAATTAACTTAATAAATGCAATACCTACCATTTTGTCCCAAAGATACTCTGATTAGTTCTTTTCAGATTTCACTATTTTTAAAATCAGCGTATCACTCATAATAACATTTAGAATGCTAAAGCCCTTTGTGTTTTTCATAGTTTTTTTTTTTAAATCCTCACCCGAGGATATTTTCCCATTGATTTTTAGATAGACTGGAAGAGAGAAATATATCGATGTGAAGAAACACATGGATTGGTTGTCTCCTGCACATCTCTAACCAGGGCCCAGGCAAGGGAGGAGCCTGCAATCGAGGTAGGTGCCCTTTCCGGGAATCAAACTACGGATCCTTCCGCCTGCGCAGACCTTCTATCCACTGAGCCAAGCCGGCTAGGGCTCTTTCTCATAGGTTTTAAAACTCTAGACTACTAGTCAATACTTTTCTTTTTCTGTAATATTATAGTTTTGCTTATAAAAATGTACACAATAAAATGTACAAATTCAGAACTCACTGCAATCACAATTATTTGAAGGGGTTAGTGGAATCAATTTAAAGATCAGAAAAGGACTTGGGCTTGGTTGTGAAACTATTTTAGATGATCATTGTCACCCCTAAAGGAAACTTGATTTTTAACTATAAATGTCCTCTAATTGGGAACAATAATTAAGCCTATATGGGGCATACTAAGTTGATTTTCTGCAATTAACCTATTCTGTTTCAGACTTGGTGGAAGCAACAATAATCTGCTTGGAACCAATGTGGCCCAAGATATTAATTTTAAAGCCTATTGAACGCCGGGTTCTGAACATATAAAGAAGACACTGTCCTACAATTTGGTGGTGTCAGGGACGGGCAGAGCTCCAAACACTGAGAGATTCCAAACATGAGAAATGCTATGAACCGGCCCAAAGTTATCTAAAGTTAGCCATTTGACTAGTGTTCCTGGGGGAATGTGGGAAAGTTCCAACACAGCGATAAAGGGCATTTGAGCTGAACCGGAAAAGATGTTGTAGGAGGAGTTCTAGATAAGAAGGCGGAGAGAGAAGAGTGTTCCAAAGAGAGAGACTTCCAGTCCTGGAAAGGACTCTCTGAGTGGGCCTGGTGCAGAGACACCTGGAAGTGAGGTGGCATCAGCGAAAGCGATCGGGACCGAATCCTAGTTCCTTATCCTTACGAGATGTGGGGCTGGAGGCCAGGTGACACGACTAAGGCGCAGTAGGGTAGCTGTCAGGACGACGCGAGGCAACCTTCAGCCGGTGCAGCAAAGCCCACGCGAGACGGTCACCAAGCCTTCGCTGCCTTTCCCTCCATGGGAACAACTGTAGCAGGTCCACGGCACCCGGCTCTTCTGCTAGACTGTGCAGGTGACGAGGTCTTTATTACCTGTGTGCACTAGCTTGCCATACACGAAGCCTTTCTCAGTGAATTCGGAAAAACGCTGCCATCCAACTGCGGAGGAAAGAAACCACTGACATTTTAGGTCGAAGAGGGGCCAGGGGCTCCGAGTGGGACAGGGCAGGGCGAAGCGAAGGGGGTAGGACAGGCAAGAGGGGAGAGTCTTGGAGGCCGGGCAGGAGGATGCCCACCGCTGGTGAGGTACCAGAGCACCGCGGAGACTAAGACCCACGCTCGCATCGCCTCGCAGGGGCTAGCGTCCCCCAGGGGTGGGCGCCGAGGGGCCTGCAACTTCCTATCTCGGCCCCGCCCAACGCCTCCCCATCCCCCCCTCCACTGGGCGGAGCAAACCGCCGGGGTCACGCCCGGGGGCGGGGCGAGAGGGCTCTGGGCACGCGCACTGGAGGCCAGCGCCCCGCCCCCTCGTGCGCGTGCGCACGCGGCCTGCATCGTGTGGAAGCTTCGTGCCTCCCGCCTGGCGCCATTTTCCCCCGCGTGCTGCGCGTCCTACTTCTCTGAGCAGCCCTTGCCGGAAGGAAAAGAGGACAGGAAAAGAACCCCAGGCTTGGAGTGTGGGCCACTTCCTTAGGTTAGGGGCCGAAGAGTTCGATGAGAAGAACACCGCAGGTCCTCAATATGGCGGTGGGGTAGGGCGGGCTGGGTATGCGATTATATTAGGCCCCGGGGAAGGGAGAAAGAAGCTTGCGAGAACTTCCTCCTCACAGGGAACGGAGAGCATTTCCTATGTCGTTTTTCTCGTGAACAGTGTCTGAAACCGTGCCCCAACCTTTTTCAAGCTCTTAGACTCATTTTGTACCCAACTGCATTTTTCTACCCACGAGACGAAGAAGGTGTTTCCATGCGTTCCCACTCCAGAGGAACGTTTACTCTTCGTTTTCAACTTCCCCAGATGACAGGCGAGACCGGCCATGCAGATCTGTGCAGTCACCTTGCTCTGAGACATGGGCGCTATTGCCAGGCCAGAGCCCCAAGCTGCTTTCCCTGTGGGGATGGAGAAGGCGAGATCAGAGGGAGGCCCGGCCCGCGCCCGGGTCTTCGTGCTTCCTTCCTGGCCGTTCACTCGGGGCCCGAAAGCCGCCTGTGTTGACTGTTTCTTAGCAGCGGGACACCCTCGGTCGTGGTTTTGAGTAGGCTGGTGGGGAGAGAGCCCAAGGTTCAGACAGGGTGCAGAAGGATTATTTTGGGTGAGATCAAGAGGTGGTGTATTTTTTTTTTTCTTTCTTTTTTCAGTTTTATTTCCTTCCAGCCGAGTCAGTACTTGGACTGTCTCTGATGGTCCAGGAGCAGCCTTTGTCAGTGATTTCATTTTTAGTCACTGTTAATTTTACTTACATAGCATAAGCCGTGATATGTGATTCACTGAGTCAGATCCACCCCTGTCAGTTACCCTGTCTAGATTCAGTTTAGCCTCAACTGTTCCTTCTTAAGGTGATGAAAACGAAGACCAATGAGCTTTGATTCCCTAGAAGTTTATCAGAGTTTATTCCTGTTTTTAGTCAAAGTGCGTTATAAACCCAGCGTTTTATTAGCTTCCCAGTTATAAGTAATTGATCCTTGTAAATCCTGTAGGATAAATTTGAATACTATCAGAAGAGACTTAACCAAATGAATGGTATATTTTTATTTTCAGAGAGATTTCAGAGAGGAAGGGAGAGGGAGAGAGAGATAGAAACATCAATGATGAGAAAGAATCATTGACTGGCTGCCTCCTGCATACCCCCTGCTGGGGATTAAGCCTGAACCCTGGGCATGTGCCCTTCACTGGAATCGAACCCGGGACCCTTCAGTCCGCAGGCTGACGCTCTAACAACTGAGCCAAACCAGCTAGGGCCAGATTTCCTTATTTTTTAGCTAATGTCCTTTTTCTGCTCAAGGATCCCATCCTGGATCCCACATTACATTTAGTTATCGTGTGTCCTTAGGTTCCTCTTGGCTGAAACAGCTTCTCTGACATTTCTTAATTTTGATGACTTTGACAGTTAGTTATAGTTCTGATGACATCGATCTGACCTTTGACCTTAACTGGTAGGCACTTTGAAAAATGTCTCTCTTGGAATTTGCCTGATGTTTTCCTCACTAGTCGTCTGGGGTTGTGGGTTTTTGGTGTGGAAGACTACAGAGGTAAAATGCCATTCTCCTCACGTCATATCAAGTGAACATTCTGTCAACATGCCTTACACTGTTAATGTTACCTTGATAACCTGCTGAAGTAGTGTTTATCAGGTGTCTCTACTATAAAGTTCCTGTACTTTTTTGGAAGGAATCACTATGTGAAGCCCACACTTAAGGTGTGTAGAGTAGCTACATAAATTATTTTACCCACTTACTTTTTACCTATCTTCTTAGGTATCACTCTCTGGAGTCCGAAATACACAATTTTGAATTATTTAGGGAGTAGTAACACGTTCCAATGTTAACTATAAAGAACATTGCCATGGAAGATAAAAGTTTTTTATAACTTTTTAATATTCATCCTTACACCATCCCTGTGTAATTTTACAGTTCCTCTTCTGTTACTTTGATGTGCTATTTTTTGCTTTTAGAAACTAACAAACAACAAATTTCCCCTTTCAGTACTAAAATTAGACCTGGTGTTTAGAGTATTTCTCTGAAATTGATATTATCCTGTAGAACTCCAACCCATACAAGCTATAGAGATGCCTGTCCTTAAAACAAAGCCTATCTAATGCATTCACTCGTTCAAAAAAAAAATCACACACACACATACATAGATATGTATATATGTTGACCTTCTGTACCAAGGCATATTTAAAATAAACTAAAATTCATAAAATTGCAAGCGTACTTTAACTTGTAAGAGTGGGTTTCTTCCAATATGGTCTGCTGATGCACAAACTCCCAATCTTAAGTCTCAGATATATTTATATACACTAATAATATAAATTTATACCAAAGGTGATAGTGATCTTTTTGAGAATCATTCACATATTGTCCAATTCAGTACACTGGGTATCTTTATAAGGCTCACCTAAACATGTCCTTTAGACTTAAGTGTGAAGAAAAGCTCTGCTTTTGAAAAACTATTATGTGGTCACTTCCCCTTTCCTCTCCCTATAGTCAAATGTGTGCTTTACTTCTATAAAGTGGGAAGGATGTTGGGAAAAGATGCTTAAAGTACATCTTTGTGTACTAACATCTTTGAGTTAATTTTACTATCTTATCTCCTGACCCTTAACTCCACTTTTTAAAAACTTACTTTTCTGATACATTATATATGTATTTTTGTAAGCTGTCTGGGGTCCTATTTGAAAGAAGGCAGGGTAGTAAAAAATTCACAGACATAGTGTGTGTAGTATTTTGTGAGTGGTGGCAGATAAACTAAGCAGTTCCCAGAAAGGAAAACCCAAGTGAGAGAATTGCTTCCAAACATGAAAAAGTTGATAAAAAATGTCCAAATCCTATTGAACTTAGAAATTTCTGCAAATTTGGACCAAGAACTTTTATCATGTGAAATGAAAAACTGAGGAAGAAAAACATAATACTTCGAATGAAGTTCTCATTGTTATTCATGGCTATGATCTCGGAATCTAGACCAAAAGTTCCAGATCTTGCTCAATTTAAGACAAACCTCTTTTACCTTAACCTTGCAAGAAAGCCATCTGGACTCCCCTGCCCTTCACCCAATGTGATAATACTCTCCCATCCATATCCTTCTAAAACAGACATTTTGAGACAAGTTGCTGATGCGCCATTTCCATCCTATAGGGGTTCTCCAGTTTGACATTCAAAAAGGGGATGGAGGCGCGGAACCTCCTGCGCTCCTCCGTGAGCGTCTTTTAAAGCCGCCGCCAGCCAGCGCCGCTGTAACCCCGCGCACCAGCAGGTCGCGGGCTCCTGCCCTTTTCGGTCTGCGCCGACTCGGCAGCGGATCCTGGGGACTCCCCGAGCCAGGAATCTCCCGCCAGCTGCGAGCTGCGTCCTGGCGACGGCAGGAGCACGTGGAGTGGCCGGGTAGCCAGAGCTGCTGCTCCAGCCCAGCCAGGCGGCGAGATGGAAGGTGAGCCTCCAGCCTGCTTCTTTGGTAAAGGGTCTTTGAAAAGCTCGGCCAGGGCACGCAGCAGAGAGAGTTCCTTCTGAATTCTCGGTTTTGCTTCTATTTGTTTCTTTTGTCAAAAGTAAACATGAGGCATTTCAGAGGGAAAAGCGCGTCGGTTCTCATACATCTCTCATTTGCTTCCCTTCTTGCCAACTTTGGAAAGTGGTAACTTGTCCGAAATGTTTTTTTTAGGGGGTGTCAAACATGAGGGGTCAACTCTTAAGTCTCCAGAGGAAGAGTGCTTACGGGCGACCCTGAAATGGCAGCAAACATGGCTTGGAATAAATAATCCCTTTGGATGTTTCTTTTTTCACCTATGGCCTCAGTGTCTATTGGATTTAGGCTGATCTGAGTGGCATGTTTAGAAAGAAAGGTGACTTTTTTCTTCTAAGAATAAATGCTGTCATATAGGAAAGGTAAATTTTAAAGTGGTTGGCACCTGCTGGTCCCTTGGAACTCGATCTTCCAATGATCCTTTTTTTACCCATAGCCAAAATCAGGCTCACATTGAGTTTCATTTGAATTAATTTTGAAAGCCATAAAATTATCTTTGCTTCTCCAAAAAATTTCAACCAAAAATTTGGGATAACCAAAATTTCTCACTATTATAAACGTTTCAATAGTCTTTTCAACAAGTGTTACTTGAAAATGGCAGATGTATCTCAAGTTGGGGGAGGTGGTCCTACTTAGAAAATCAGAATTTATGAGAAATGTATTCGTTCAATTAATAAATGAGAGAATGACACCTAATTGAAATGTTAATTTTATAAATATCATGAATAGCATGGATTTTTCTTCATAAAAATCAAAGGATCTCTTATTGCCAATGAACCTTCATCTTAGGTCTAGAGCATATGAAGTTATTAAAGTTAGATTAATTTGGGATATGAAAATAAATATGATGAAGCTTTTATTTCACAATATAATTGAGTGCAATGGTGTGGTCCTAAATCCTCAGTTTGTACCTGGGTATGCTAACAATTTTTTTAAACTACCTTGGCCCATATACACATTTTTTTTTTCTCTAAGTGGAATGCCAAATAAGTCAATGAACAGTATGTATTTAGTGTATTCATAGAAACTTTAAAATGGCCATTATTGAATAATGTTCAAGTGTTTTCTCTTATGAAAAATTCTTTATGCTTTTAAATTTTTTAATTATTAGGGTTTTTAAAATAACTCTTAAAAATTGGCACTTTGAATATTTTAAAAATGGTTTATGAAATGTAATTTTTAACATGTAAAAGTTCTGGCCAAGGACAGGAAAAAATTAGATTACTGTACACTATGAAAAAATACTTTTAAGAACTCTCATGCTTTTATTATAAATGAATTGCTGAATTTGTTTTTATGAAATTATAAATCAGGACGCCAACACTATTTTTTCCTAGTCTTAGCCATTTCACTTCTCAAGAATAATGTACAGAATAGTGTAAATTCATGGAAATTAGAGTGTTTCTCTGTAAATGTTACTACTACCAAGTTCATTTAATGTGAAGTAAAGAAATTATTAACTAAATAGCATAAATTAGGATATTAATGCCCTAACAAAGACTTTCAGGTAAGCCTGGATGAAGACTCTCTGGATAAGGAAGGAATGAAAACTTGTATAGAATTCAGAATGTACTATATATGGAAAGAGATACAATGTAGAATATAGATCAGTGATCAGTTGTGAGTTTAAATGACTAAATTCATAAGGCCATGGAGATGGATAGTATATAGTAAGCTTAGTGCAAAATTTCAACACTTAATCAAAACATAAAAATTTAAAAATGGTTAAAGATGTGACTTAGGCTATTCTAACATCAAGTCCTTGAGGACAGAGTAATATAGTAAAATATCTTGTTCATTGATAGCCACCCAAGATTGACTAATATGGCTCATGTGTGTGATATTTAAAGTATATTTATATTATTTTGATATTTTGGTCTCAATCTAGCATAGAGATTTGATCTATATTGTATACTTCTCATTTTTTGACAATGTAAGAAAGTCGAGTACTTTATGGAATGCCTTTATTTTTTGCCCAATTTGTTGGCCAAATTGATATGCTAGAGTTTACTGTGAAGCTATATAGTTAGACATTTCTTTAGCATACAAAATCTTTTTAAATTCATTCATATTTTTATTCAATAGACATTTATTGAGACTTTATGTGTGCAAATATCAGATAAAATATGCATTTGAAATAGAAATCTTGTCATATAAATATAGTCAATGTACATAATAAATCAGAAGCTATAAATTTTTTCTCACAATCTGTGATCCTAAATATTTTTTTTGTTTGTTTTCCAAAGTACATATTTTACTTATATAGAATAGTGAAAGGTGAGCACGAATAATGGTTTGTAATCCAGTTTATATAGCATTATATGCTGCTTATTTGTTCTGATAATCCTACATATTTTCTATCCAAAGACTATTTATGTTGCTAAATTTTGTTATTTGTACTATAATAATTCCATCTATCTGGTATGATTGAGAAATGAGGTGGTTCATAAATATGAATTTCACAAGTATTGGCATGTTTCTCATTTAATATAAAATCTTTCTATTTAAACAATATTGGATAGAGATTTTTCTAAGTGTATTTGTTTATAGCCCTCTGCTTTATAAACAGGTACACAAGAGATAACTTTATTTTGGTGACCTTGGGTCACTATTTTGACCATTAGGTAACATATTGTTCTATAGTATATTCTCACAGGGGTTTTGAACTGTGCAGAACTGAATACCCCTACACTAAATATTCCCTGGTTATTGTGCACTTTTTGTCTCCTTCTTGATGAGAAGACAAAGAAGACGTCTTTTCTTCTACTTCTTACCACATTGTTTTTGTGGAAGCCATCTAACATTTCAAGGTCCCTTTCCATGCTCTGGATGGTTGAGATTTACAGAGATATATCCTTCTAATGGTGGAGTGTAATAGCCCTCCATTATGAGCTGATGAAGGATGAAATGGTAAAGGTTAAAGAAACAAAAGCCACAGAAAGGTCATGGGGTCCTAGTAGGACATAATTTTAGAAAATTTCCTATAATCCAATGAAATAGACTCTTTCACACTTCTTCTATGTCTGCTAAAATTTTCACCCCATTTGTTACCTGATTGTGCCTGTCTGCTCATCTTTCAAGACTCAGGCATAATCTCCGTCTGATGACCTTCCCTGTTACCTTCTGGTACTTATTCTACCCAGTTCCTCACCTCCCTTAGCTAGGCTAGAGACCTTTCCTTTCTGTGCATACTTTTGCCAATTGTACTGAAATTACTTATTGATTTAAGTGTTTATTTCCCCACTAGTCTTTAAGCTTCTTATTTTTCTACGTTCAGTGCCAGAAATAGTTCCTGGTTCATAAAAGACCCTCAGAGTTTGTTGCATTCAGTTAAGAAACTAGTGCTGAGGAGTAATTTTCATTATGTTTATTATGATGCTTTTATTTTATTAGTTTTTGTGAGTAGGGGATTGGGTTTTTTTAAAAAATATATTTTATTGATTTTTTACAGAGAGGAAGGCAGAGGGATAGAGAGTTAGAAACATCCATGAGAGAGAAACATCGATCAGCTGCCTCTTGCACACCCCCTACTGGGGATGTGCCCGCAACAAGGTACATGCCCTTGACTGGAATCGAACCTGGGACCCTTCAGTCCACGGGCAAATGCTCTATCCACCAAGCCAAACCAGTTAGGGCTAGGGGATTGGTATTAGCAATTCTTTGATAAAACTCAGAAAATTCTTAAAGTACTTAATTAAATGGTATAATAGAAGAAGGAAGCTTAGAAAACAAAAATTTTGGGTTTTGTGTGTGTTTTTTGGCTAGCCTATCACTTAAAGCCAGATCTTATCTATTAACTTTATATCAGCAGATTTTAGGATCACATATTAGTCCACTGAAATACAGATCAGATATAAGCAGAAATTTGTTTTCTCAATCGGCAAGATATAGATGATTAAAATTAGCATAAAAATTTTCAGTGATACCTTTTAAATATCTTCTTATAAATTTGTCATTAATATATATATGTATACTAGTATATACTTACACTTATTTGGGACTAAAATATCATTGGTAGATATTTTATTGGCCAGCCACTGTTAATTGGCTCCTAACTCAAGCTATAGTTCTTAGATCATGTATGAGAACCGAGTGATTAACACAGAAACCTGCATGCAGTAAGTGCACAATAAATCTTTTTTTGTGCTAAGATTCATTAATTATTGTGAAAAGAGACCCTAAACATCACAAGGACATATAGTGCACTCTGCTACCTGGCCTTTTAAAAATAAAATTCTCCACTAATAAAAGCCTAGGTGGTCCTCACACCCTCGCGCAGGACATTGTCACAAGATGGCCACCATAAGATGGCCGCACGCACAGTGGAGGGGGTCCCAGCGGCCGCTCCACACGGTGAGGCCTGGGGGTCCTGGGCTCCGCGTGGCACAGAGGAGGCCGGTGCCGGTGTCTCCGCCACCTCGTGCAGAGGAGGCAGGTCCTATTGGAGGAGGCAGTCACAGCAGGGGAGGGCAGTTGTGGGCAATCAGGCTGGCAGGGGAGGGCAGTTGTGGGTGATCGGGCCAGCAGGGGAGCAGTTAGGTGTCAATCAGGCTGACAGGGGAGCAGTTAGGGGGTGATCAGACTGGCAGGCAGAAGCGGTTAAGGGTAATCAGGCAGGCAGGCAGGCAAGTGGTTAGGAGCCAGCAGTCCCGGATTGTGAGAGGGATGTCCGGCTGCCGGGCCTACACCGGCAGTCGGACATCCCCCGAGGGGTCCCAGATTAGAGAGGGTGCAGGCTGGGCTGAGGGACACCCCCCCCCCCCGCATGAATTTCATGCACTGGGCCTCTAGTATTTATAATAATTAAAAATCATAAGGGTGACCCTAGGGCCTTTTAAATCACTACAAAAAGGTGAAATAATATAAAAGTAATTATAGTATATTTCTATTATATGTAAATATGATCT